ATGCAGTGGATTCATAATATGAGTCATATATCAACAGGTGCTTTTGTGTTTTCTATTCTTAAGCTATGGTAGTTATATTTCAGGCCTTGAGTGTATGCCTGTAACCTTCCTACTATCCTTCCACCTATAGCTACTGCATGACCCTGTATCCAATACAAACTGCATGTAAAAGGTAAAAAACTCAGCTGGGAGAAGGTTAATTTGACCTTTCTCTGAAAAAAAAAGTTGATTTCATTGTAAGTTTGATTCTGAAGATGCAAAATTGTGTTTTGGTCTTTTGGAAAGAGCTTAAAAATGGGCAGTTGAGGTACATTTGCACACATCTTGACTTGAATGTTAAAAGCACCCGAAGAAACTATTTAAAACACTTGGTTTACACATTGGTTTACACTAGATATTGGTAAATCTTTTTTCAAAGACAATAATTTTGAGGTTGAAAATTGAAATTAAAGTAAGAAAACTTATACATATCTATAGATTTATTTATGTATATAATCCTCGAAAGATGACATTTTATAACCAAAAATCCTCGGAAATTTTTAATCCTCATGCAAAAATTATGTTTTATAACTAAGAAAAATAAAAGGACAGTTGGCTACATGAACAAGTTACAAATAATTGGCTAAACTTGTACAAATGCAGATATAGTCACACCGCTGTACAGTTTACCTGGAAAATTTTGTAGTTCCACAGCTAGCCCTATTAAAAAATATGTCTTGATCAGTGTGATTGATGTGCTGAACGTCCAGAGGAGAGGATTGGGCTTTGTCCCTGGAGAAGATATGAAAGCCTTTGATGGATAACTCTTCATCACGTTCTAACACCTCATACAAAATCCATTTCTGTGACCACTCAAGCAGAAGCACATACACTGTTGGGTTTATTAGCGCTCACACATACATCATGCCGAGATTGGTAATGTATGTGTCAACTTGGCCAATTCATTTACTTTTGCCGGTGGGATCGGATGTGAGTCATTTTCATAATGAGATGCTCTGGCAGGACTTGAGCTTGTTTTTGCCTGTAGAAAAGTTACTTTAAAAGGCCTGGAAAGGTCTGATATGCCAGACATATAGACTCCAGGACAGAGTCCTTATTACATTTAGATGCACACACTACTTACTGGAGTCATACATGGAGTGAAGGCCAGCTTGTAGGGTGATGTTCTAAGTAGTCTTCCTGGAGTCCACTAAAATAATGCAAAATATGACAACGGAATGTACTAAAATTACACACCAGAAATAACAGAAGACTAACATAAACTGAATTCAAAATTACAGTAGTAATCAAAATGATGGAAATCAATTGTAACATCTATCCCCTGAATGATAGGAGTCTATCAAATTTCTTCCAAAATGTTTTACAGAAAGTTGATGAGCAGTCTTGTCATCCATACTAAACAAGTCCTCTTTCATACATTTAAGAAACACATGTACCAGTTCCTTTTAAAAGTTTTATTTCATTCCTGTATATTGCTTTGTTGCTCAGACCAACTTTTCAGACACCAATATTAATGTTCTGACAGAAGTCTATCAAATTTCTCACAAAAAAGAGCAGTTTGCTCCTCCATACTAAAAACGAGTCTTCAATCTTTCATACCTTTAAGAAACACATGTACCAGTGCCTTTTTTTTATTTCATTCCTACATGTAGATATTGATTTGTTGCTCATACCAACTTTTCAAACGATTTTCTGACAGAAGTCTATCAAATTCCTCACAAAACACAGCAGTTTGCTCCTCCATACTAGACAAGTCCTTCTCTTTCATACCCTTAAGAAACACATGTACCAGTGCCTTTTATTTTATTCCCGGATATTGATTTGTTGCTCAGAGTCAGACCAACTTTTCAAACACCAAAGTTCTGACAGAAATCCATCAAATTTCTTTAAAAAAAAGAGCACTTTGCTCCTCCATACTGAACAAGTCCTTCTGTTTCTTACCTTTAAGAAACACATGTACCAGTGCCTTTTATTTCATTCCTGGATATTGATTTGTTCCTCAGACCAACTTTTCAAACACTGGGTACGGCACCTTCAATCACAAAAGTTTTGTAGTGAGCACAGCTGTCATGCACATGATGCATGAGGTCTCTCTGAGCCAGTATTGAGAGGGAGGGAAGTGTCTTTGATTCCGATTGGTAATCAATACAAATTGAATCAATGAGCCCAGCTGGGGTTCTCAGTATTGCACCTTCTCTGCTCATTTTTGCAATTGAAATCAATATACCCACCCGGTTTAAATTGTATTGCTTCATCTTGTGGTATCGAATGCCTTCGATCGAGAAATTGCAATTAACTTGACACGCAATATCGAAGATTCCCCCGACCGGTTTGTTATTTGATTTCTCAGCCCCCCGAAATTTAACGAGGATGGCAGGAAAATCAAACAGAATCCAATACTCTGACTGTTGCGAGACTGAATGCTATCACGCGCACACAGCTTCTAGTAAGTTCATCGCCTTGGGTGTTTGACTCGTTATCAAAGTTGCGCTGAGGAACGTTTTCTGGCCGGGGATGAGTGAAAAATGGACGGAGCGCCCATTCTCCCCGCATCGGCCAGAAAATTGATTATACAAGCAATGCCTGCTAGATAATGCAGGCAATCAATAGCGGCAGCGCGGGTGGCTCTCCCGTGTCAGAAAACACATTATATTAGCCGTTGCCATGGCAACTAATGGGATTTTTCCATCTACGTTATGCAGGGATCAACCGACCCACCATTGATTTTATTGGATATGCCTTGTGTGGAATATTGATAAGGAGACTGTACCAACTGAGTAGACAGCGGGGGTGTTCTGTGATGTTAGGATTGGCAATAGAGACATTCATAATTTGCTCAAATCTGAGTAGAAAAACTGAATAAGTTGTTACACTTTGTAAAAGTTACCATGTAACTGCAGGCCCAGATGAGAAAACCTTATACTTTAGTTATAGAGTCAGAGAATTGCATAATCATTGTGATGCATCAGAAACAGTAGATTTCAAAGTGGAATTCAATATGAATTTGTTTTCTCAGACTGACAAAGTCGTTTACATTATTATGAAAATATTGCTGATACTAGTAAAAAGTCCTCAGAAAAAATGAGCATCTTGATTTTAGCTGGAAAAGGTTTATACGGAAAATCACCTAGGTATTGAAAACCGACTATTTTCATTATCTATTTACCTGTATTGGTTCTTATTGAGCTATTACACCGGTGCTCTTTTTCTTCTGTATTGGTTCTTGTACACTGTTACTGTTAGTGTGACTGTGTTTTCCTGTCTAAGATCATATCTGTTGTGAATCACTTTGCTTTTCATTCGCAATGATTCAATCAAATTCAATGTTACCAAGGATATCTTTACTGATGCCAAAACATTAGGTAGCAATTAAGTCAGCATCCCCCCTGTTCCTAAACTGTGAATAGACTGTTCCTATGATATCATAGGGCAGCCGTAACACTCACCAGTTGCCAGGCGATATGAGGGGACGGACAGGCAATCTTGCCTCCAATGCCTCACCAATATTAAACTTTCCAGGCCGCTGGTTCAGCCAGGATATGAGGCCATTTTTCATAACTCTGGGCAGACCCAAGTGGCATACAAAATCTGGGCCGTGCCTGTCAACAAAGTTGCAAGAAATCCTGGCATCTCTCAAGAACACATCATGTATGTAGATCTACAGATCCGGTTTTATTTGTTTTCAGGATTTGGCAGGTCTACACTGGACTACCTGAGTGTTGGAGCCATGTATGATCAATCACTGAACAAAGTCAACAATTCAAAATTCAACACTTCAGCACATTAAAATCAGATGTCTGCAAGCAAAGTGAAACCGTTTTTCGGACCCAAACTGAAGATACATGTACGCTCTCAGATGATAACTGTAACAAATGTTACCATTTAAATTCTACCATTTGCTTGATTAATGTAAATGGATATAAAGTTGTCGATTTTGGGTATAGTACTAGCTGCTTTGCTACATTGTTGTTACAACTTACATACACAGTCATCAGCTAATGTCAAATGCTGGAAATGTGAAAAAAGATTCTGTCCAGGACTCCTTGAATGCAGCAACTTAGGCGATCATGTTATCAGCATTTTGACTTTGAACTCTGGATTTTTTTCCAGTTCCAGCCATCTCAAGATTGCTGTAAGTCTGGAAAGATGTATTTTTAAGTTTGCAGTTTTTATGGTTGACTTTGCCATGTAGTGAACTCACCTCACCCACTCAAAGGTACTAGCATTTCCAATGGCAAATATTCGATTTTCACGTACAGTGGCACAAAATTTAGCTTCCGTGAACATAAATGAATTTACAGTGTCACAAATATACTCGTAGAAACCAAGAGAGCAGACAGATGCTAAATAAAGGTTGTTAGCTGGCTACGCATTGGGAAAGAGTGAATAAAATTAGAATAGAAAGGCAATAATAAAACTACACATTGCTGAGTAATTAAAAGTGTGTATCACTCGTATTTAAACATGAATCCTTCATGTATTTATGAAGCTTTACCACATTTGTGGAAGGATTGACATAACAGGGACTATCACCTCTTCAAGATGTCAACCCTGAGACCAGACTGTAAGGTTTGAACAACTCGCACCAGCTGCATGAAGGACCCTGCCCTTTGCGATAAGTGTGGTGGGATCTTTAATGTGCTCAAGGTCTGGGACATGTACAGCTTTGCGTCCTATCTGAGAGGACATCCCAAGCTAAAGCTAGGTACCCATTTACACCCGAGTCAAGTGACTCAAGGACACAACAATGGGGCCTGCCATAGCCTGGTGTCCAGCCTTGTTAGCTTTAGTCCGCTTCCCAAGATCCGCTACCCGCCAACTTGTGGGAGTGGATCTTGGGGAGCAGACTAAAGCTAACAAGGCTGGACACCAGGCTAGCCTGCCAAGGATTCGAACCCAGAACCTTCAGATTCTGAGTCAACCACAACCCTAACCCCAAGACCACTCACCACCATGAAGTTCCAGATTTAGTTGACATTATTTTTATATTCTACTTTCAGAAAGAGCTGGACTCTACTGCCACAGAATTGGCCAACCGCCAGGATGAGAGTGATCAGTCCCGCAAGAGACTCATCGAACAAAGCCGAGAGTTCAAGAAAAATACGCCCGAGGTACCTGCACCTATCTCATGTACACTGTGTGTCGTCTTAGTTTAATCTGACACATACTACCCTGTAAGGGTTGTTTCTTACATCTGTGTCAATGGTAGATCTAGCTAATGCATATCTCTATTGGCATCAAATACAAAGTTGCAATTTTAGGAAGTTTTTATCAAAATGTGTCAGTTTGCATAACTGGCAGTCTGACTTTTGCAATAGGATTTTGTTTGCAATGTTTCTGACGTCTGTATCAATGGTAAATCTAGCAAATATTTATCTCTATTGGAATTATATGCAAAGTAATTGCAATTTCAGGAGTTATGACTTTTGCAGTTCGATTTTATACAATGTTTTTACTAATTTTAGAGAGAGAGTATAGGTTTGTTTTTCATTGAAAAATGAAAAATATATTCACAGGCAGAAAAATTTTCTTTTGTGCTAGTTGACTTTAATTTTTGGTAGAGGAATTAAGTTTGGGACAGTCAGTATATACTCTATGTATAATGTAACACAAGGTTTGGCAAATTGTGGCTGGGCCTATTCTAACATGCCGGATGCAAAGAAGCTATTTGGAAGAACATCGGCCTAATCATTAAAGGCATGTGTTGACAGTTTATTGCTGATTTCCATTTGCAGAAGCGTCGTAAAGCTAACTCCTTACAGGCCGGACATCCATTGACAAGTTTGCGAAAGACGTGACAAACGTTCCGAGTTTCCAAACTCGCTCGCAAAGATCCCGAAAAGTGTCACATATCTGATGCCATTAACTCCCTGAACTTTGGAAAACCAATTTTGGGGATCTACAGGTTATTGAGTTTGGGGCTTGTTTTGCCCTGTCATCCTGATTCAATCAAGCAGGAGAAACCGTCCATAGATAAAACTCCCCTTTCCGACTTCGCATGTCACCAATCAAGAAATTGCCGGTGATTAGAGCCCATCGGATAAAAGATGATTTTCCACGCCATAAGTTTCCATCATGCGTACCTATCGCAGCACGATTGTTCCACAACGCCGGGCACAAGACGCGTTTAGCTCGTCCTATTAAGCTATCAAAGCGCTGTCGTACATGAAGATCCCGTCATATTCGAGACCCGGTCCCCTGTTAATGACGACCATAAATCTCCACCCGCCATCTAATGGAGAACGGGGCAGAGTTTAATGGTGGTATGAATAAATTTCAGGTTTGTATCTTCTTGGAGTAGCACTTGGGTGGGAGTACAACTATCAATCCCAAGTGCGGACTGATTGGGAATGCCAATTTGATAGGTTTTGCCCCAACTTTGGCATCCTGTTGGATAGGAACGGATGTTAAACTTTGACATTCATTTATTTTGCCGCAGGACATAAGAAAAGCTGTTGCACCCTTATTGAAAAGCTTCCAAGCAGAGGTAAGTGAGATGTTACCAGTACCGATCTTTTTTGAGAGGACCTACATGTGTGTTTGATGTAGTAATTTCTAGTACATGTATTTGTAAGGATGGGGTTGGTAATGGTTTTCAAACCAGGGGAACTCTCAGGGCTCTTGTAGTCTTGGTTTAGGATATGCTGATACCAAAAGAATTTATAATGTACCCACTGTGCATGTACAACATCTATGTTATATGTAGCTGTTATAAAAAAAACATGTACATGTATGTCAACAAAAATGTCATCTGTTTTACTGTTTAGTTTCTTTCAGGTATGATGGAATGATTTCAAAACTTCTTGCCCTTTTCTTACAAATGAATCATGTACAATGTTATTGCAAGTCTCAGCCTAGACATTTCATTAAATACTTGACAAAAGACCCAGAAATCAACTGCAATTGTAGAAGGTGAAAACTGTTAAGCTCCATTGTGCAGTATCAGACATTGATTTAGAACCCACTCACATCTATCACACTAGTATTGATAACCCTTACCATTCCTTATTTCCCTCCTTAGTTTCATTACGTTGTCCATTGATTGCTAACTTATTTCGGCTTTATCTTTATTTGTGTAGGGGTAAGTTGGCGACATGACTGTATTGATTTCTGACAGTTCTGTGTTTGATGAATAGCATGTCTGCTGAAAGACAAATGAGTTGCCCCCTTACTTTTCACTGTGGACAATAACACACAGATATGTGTTAACGAATTCGATAAACAAAGTAAAGGATTTTTCTGACGGATATTTGGTCTTTTTTTACTTTAATATGATTTTAGCAATTCATTCTTTCCTAGAACTATCGCAGAGTGGAACTCACTGTCACCGAGTACAGTAGGGCATTGTCATTAGATAGCTTTAAACAATGTCTAGAGTCCAAGGGCTAGGTGTAACAAGTCGATCGGTGTAATGTAGCCAGCTGCTGCCGCGCCGCGTGCCTTCGAAGCTGGTGTGTTACGCCGAAAGGTGGTTATACCGGCTAGACAGATACAGAAACAGACAGCAAAAGAGAACTGTGTTGTACTCTCCTTTGCTTAAGTTAGAAACAAGAATTAGATGTTTCTACAATTTTTTTGAAAGCTCCTGAGTCTGGGATGTTGTTCCTGTAACCTATTATGTACTCTGGTACCAGCTTGAGTTAACAAATTTAATAAACCCAGTCAAGGATTTTTCCGCAAGATATTTAGTTTTTTTTATTTACATTTTTACATGATTTCAGCAAAGGAGAACTGTTGTTCTCTTCTTTGCTTAGAAACAAGATACAGCTGCATTATACATGTAAGTTCTGTATATGATTATGAGGGCAAATTTCAAGGACAACTTCCTTATTTTCATTAAAGAATTGGCTGTTTCTACAATTGAAAGCTCCAATCTGGCATGTGGCTCCTACATATAAACTATTACTGAAATTCTCTTTATGTTCACGGTAGCAAAAGTTCACGATTGGAGAAAAATGGACGTGTTCATGGAACAATATGTTCATGGTGGCGACAGGTGCAGGAAAAAGAAAGTCTAGGAATTTTTTGTTAACTGTAATGATAACTTCACGGTACAGAAGTGACAGGGAAAACAGTGAACGTAACAGTACAGTGAAAAAAATCAGGAATTACAGTATTATGTACTAGTACTCTGGTACCAGCTTGTGCTTAGAAACAAGATACAGCTGCATTATATACATTGTACATGTATGTCACTATGTGAGGACAAATTACAAGTTGAACTTCCTTATTTTCATTAAAAAGTGGACGTTTCTACAATTGAAAGCTCCAATCTGGCATGTGGCTCCTACGTGTAAACTATTATATTGTACTCTGGTACACGGAACAGTCTATGATTTATCGAGGAATAATTCACTGCTGCAGGGCAGTTGGCTGGCCTGACTTGTCAGAAATAATTTGTGGACAAAGAGGTGCTGTATGGTGTAGCTTAATCCACAAGGAGACACATCATTTATATCTAACAAAACAAAATACATTATCCTTCAACTGATATTGATACTGGTGTAGAAAATCTTTACATTCTGTGTCTCGCTGGAACGTGTTGGCTGTTTACTGTGGAAAATGGATTGCTAGAGCTTTAGGCTACACCAATTTAATTTGTTGGTTTTCGGATTTTTTCTGAAAAAATATGAAGCGACAGGGCAAAAAAAGAAAGAAACAGACCAAGGCACCCCATTAATTACCAGGCTGGTTTATAATTAAAACAATTATACCGGTAGATTTTGAACTTTAAATGAAACAGAATTGCACTGTAACATTGAAAAACTTTAACAGCTAGGAAAAAAAGGAATTTCTTCAACAGTTACTGTTAGGGCCAAAATTTGCATTTTGCAGTTGTTTTAGAACCATTTGCAAATCAGAAAAAAATGGACAGGGTGAATCCGAGAAACAACAAATTAAATTGGTGTGGCCTTATCCTTCAACTGATATTGATACCGGTGTAGAAAATCTTTACATTCTGTGTCTCGCTGGAACGTGTTGGCTGTTTTGTGTAGAAAATTGATTGCCAGAGCTTTACTTTTGTGTTGTTGCCTTTAGGTGGATAACCTGTCCAAAAGGAGCAAAGCTGCAGAGGCTTCATTCCTCTCTGTCTACAAAAAACTCATCGACATTCCAGGTACTTTTTCCTCACTTGTATCTTTTTTCCCCTACACATTAGAGAATACTTGCATTTTGTGTAGTCTGTTATGTCTTTAATTATCTTTGATAAAAAAAGTGTAAAATTAGATGAACACAAGTGGTTAGAAGAACATTCCTCAAAATAAGGTTTTGTCTGTTTTAAATACAAAACAATATACAAGTTATCATTTGCAATCATGTCATGCAAATTTAATTCAAAAGATATATGTTATCAGTAGGCAAATCACTAAACTGGCAGCAGCTTTTTGCCTACCACTTGCTGGCTGTGATGCCATGGCAATTGCTGGTAGTGAACTCGCAAGCTAAAGTGTTCAAAAGTAGTTTCAACAGGCAAGCATTACTGTCCATGAAATAAGAAGAAAAAAAAAACTCCTGAACTCCTGATTGCTACAATAACTTCCCTGCCATCTCGCTGAGATTGATAGATCTCGCTGTGATTAGATTTTCCTATGAGATTGTCTCAGCCCAGGTTAATGAGAAACAAATAAGTCTCCATTTGGCGAGTGTAACCTCGGTGATAATGCCCCACCTGTTGGTCCAGACCCTGTCCCAGTGCTGGAACACAGCCAGGCCCTGCAGAAGAAGGTACAGCGCGCCCAAGATGTGGAGGTGGAGAACGAGAAGCTACGCGAAACGCTGGAAGAATACAACAAGGAGTTTGCCGAGGTCAAGAACCAAGGTCAGTCTGTGAAATCCGGTCTAAGACAACCACCCAGGGGGCCAAGAAGAGTGGTAGAGGAAAGTAGCCGGTTCTCTCTAATATCATAAAAAAAGAAGAAAACTCAGACACCCGCTTGAAAATGATGCAGTTGTCATAGGCAGAGATTGGGTGCTGGTTGTAGTCGCATTGTACAAGAGGTTGGCTTAGACTAGTCCCTCAATTAATACTTTTATGGGGGGAAAATTGGGACCGGAAAAAAGTGGTTGTTATGGCCAGATGTCAGGTATATTGGGGTGGTTGCTTGGGCAAGTTTGGGTATTATATCTTAGAATGACAGAAATTGTTCACTTTCCTGTTTTCAAATTTTTTTATGAAGTGGAAAATTTGTAAGACTATGATAACATGTGCACGAGGTTCCTACTGGTCTTGGATGGTTTGAAAGAGGAAAACAGTTATATACATGTATAAAACTGTTTTCTGACAAAATACATGTCATGTATTGAGAATGTCATGAGAATATTTTTATGGAAGACATTTGAAACCAGTGTATACATAGGATGTTTGGAGTTCTTCTGTGACTGATAGGTTTGAAAGAACTGTGTCATTGTCAGACTTGCTTGCCTACATGTAAAATGCTTGTGCAAGATTATGTTTCTAATCTAAGGAAAGAGAGGAACCAATTCTTTTGTTCTTTCCTGCAATCTAGTTACAGTTTTATACTCAGTGATGTACATTTTTACTCTGAGGCAAGCTTCTCAGTTTCAAGTAGACTGGCCTCATTTCATTTGATCTTAATTCTCAAAGGTGTTTGTTAACTGTTTGTTGCCGACTGTCTTTTAACAGAGGTGACCATAAAACAGTTGCGGGAAAAGCTGCGAGAAACAGAAGAGAAAATGGAGTCCCTGGCCCAGGGGCGCGCCAAGGAGAAAGAAAAGGAACTGCAGCGGGCCTTTGCAGAGAAAGAAAGGTTAGTATTAAGACAGTTAACTTGTAATTTCTTTTCTTGACGTATGAAGTAGAAAATCTGGAGTTAAACAGAAGAGAGATGCAAAAACAAGGGTTTGGAGTTGTCATTTTCTATTTCTGCATAATGCCTTACTGTAAGCTCATGACCAACTTGTGAGTAATGTCCTCACATTTTCAGTCTCCTCTCGGAGCCATTCAACGTTTATTGCTAATGGGGGGCAAGCCGCCCAGCCTTTTTAAAGGATTAGCCCAGGTTCCGTGTTTGTATTCTGTTGAAGGGTTGCACACACTGTCAGGCAGAAATGGCAGGGATTTGCTACAAATGTGTTGTAAAGTAGTCCATTTCAAGGCAAAACGTAACAAACTGGAGGTTTTTTTGTGCAAGGTGAAGATCGGAAAGATACTGACAACAAGAAAATGCAACAGAAGACACTATTCAAAGCAAATTGTTGCAAGTATATGAATATGAAATTCATTGATAGTCATCATCTGCAATTTTCCAGACAACTCCAGGAGACACAGATGTCAGTTGCTACTAAATTGGGTGAGGCTGAGCACAAGTCTACAACCCTGCAGAGTGGTAGGTCTGATTTTCATGCTTTTTCGATTTCTTTTTGTGCAAAATAATCAAATTTTTCAGGGATATTGTAATTATCAAACTTTAAATGTACAGAATAGATTAAATCCCTCCTTGAAAGCGTGCACATTTGTTTTTTTAAAGCACACATTTTTTGCCTTTGTATTTCAGCATTGGATTCTACCAATGCTGAGCTTTTTGAGCTGAGGTCCAAATATGATGAGCTGAACAGTGCAAAGTGAGTACATTTCCACACCTGTAGGCCAGGATTGGTGTTTCATGGTACCTGATTGGTCAAAGTAAGCTATATATGGCCTCCATCTTTGAATATCGACCAATTGGTGGAATCCTAACTTAATCAGGAAAGGAGAGGGCCTCTATAAGCATGTTTGCTCTTTGTTCGATCCACTTTTATGGCATCCAATGTGATTTCATAGTGGCAAAACTGGATTTTCAAATTTAATTTTCTGGTCATTTGAATCAATCCTATCCCATCTGTGAGGCAAAAATGCAATGTCGCTGATGGAAAGCGCTTGCATGTTTTGTAACGTAGGCTGGTTCTGGCTATTTATGGGTGGTACCCAAAAATAAAGAGATTCCTCACGTAGCTTTCAAATACTTCAAGTATGAAATGATGACGAAAATATGCTAAGAATTGGCTACGGTAAATGTCAATGTCAGATTTCCTCATCAAAAATTGCTGCTTTGAAATTGCACTGGATGCCTTTAACTTAGCAACCTCTTATAGCTCATATCCAGGACAAAATTGGTGCCAAAGGGCTACCTTAATAGGGACAAATTTAAAGAGAACATGACATTTCCACAGGTCGGATGAGATGGACATGATCATGACAGACCTGGAGCGGGCCAATCAGAGAGCAGCTACGGCAGAGAGGGAGGTTGAAACACTGAAGGAACAGCTGAAATCTGCCAACGAATCGCTGCATCTGGCCAATCAGATGCAGAAGGCTCCCACCATGGAACAGGCCATTGATATCATCACACGGTCTAGTCTAGAGGTCGAGGTGGCTGCCAAGGAGAGGGAGGTAAGGCCTCGGAAAATTAATGTTGTGTTTCCGGTTTCAGTCCTGAAAAACCTAGGTCGCGGTATGTGGGGATTTTCTTTTAGGTTTTTCTTTTTTTTTATAGATTTTGGCTAAAATGATCCAACAAATAAAGTTTAACAATGTATCAGGATTGTTGCAAGGACCCGTCCACTTGTTTGCCTGTGGACAAATATTTCACCTGATTTACTGAAGAAAAAGTTGTTTCTGAAATAGCATTTTTTTTAAAATGATGTTTGAGAAATTTAGAGGGTTTGAAATTCAGATGTCAGATCGAAAAATTTATGGCTTCGCCAGCCTTTGACTAAAAACACAAAGGCTAGGGTCAATTTTTTTTTTGCTTGAGTCATGGAAACACAAAATATTTTTGATAGGCCTATTAAAAAAACTGCACACAACACATAATAGTCCCAACTGTTCAGTAATAATTTGCAATATATATTATGTAACCTTAAAGAGCAGAGAGCCATATTCCACTTGTAGAATGTTACATAATCTGATGAAACTTTATAATGCTTCTGTGTGCTTGAAAGATGCCCAAAACAGATCTGAAAAAAATATATGTCCTGGCAATAAATGCTTGGAGCTTAAAGTACCCTAAATCAGAATTTAGTGAGAGAAGAGAATTGCACCTAGTAGACACTAATATGGGTGATTTTGCATGCTTAAAGCCTTCCAGTTGCTGACATAAGTGCCCTTCACAGCCGTATGCTTCACATGATGGATATCAGCTTATCATGGCCCTGGAAAAGGCCATGGGCAGAGTAGAGACAAATACATCAAGTGGAGATATTGTAGAATATTGGCCTCTCTGGACAGACATGTTCATCCATTCTGAGATCATCTCACACTGTAATATGTTACAGTTGCTGGTCATTAGATCGTGGTAAAAATATTAATTCCATTAAAATGTTGAGGCTGTCTATTAGCTAACATAGTCATCCACTAAGGAAATGCAAATTAAATTTCAGATATCATCAAGAAATCTAATCATTTCTAGGTCTCATCAAGATCTACGTTCCTACCGTCTTTCATGACAATCCATCCAAAGCTTCTTGAGTTATCATGATAAATTACATACATACAATGTCATACATACACTCACACAAATGCTACAGAAAACATAACCTTCTTGGCAAAGATAAAAAGCCTGAAAAACACAGCGTAAAACACTTACCCTACATCTGCTTGAAGATATTAAGTTCCTGTCATACTCTACCTAGAATTGAGCTTGATTATGTTTGGTTAACAGGGTCAGTGTTCTCGCCAGGCTGTTTGAGTATAGGGGCCCACTACGCTGTGATTTGGACCCCCTATGCTGTGATTTAGCTCCCTTACAGTGTTCCTTTTTGGGAAGAACCCTGTGGCCCTTCGTAAATCTTTTTGACAATCAATTTGACTTAAGAATGAAGCAGTGGGAAAATCAACAAGACTGGCAATGAAAACATACATTGCCATGGAGACAGTGGTTGATGTTAGGGTTATTGTTTGTATGGCACTGCCATCGTTTCATGATTTTGAGGAAGACAGATACAGTGCACTCCTCCCCCCGAGTATATAGTGAACGAGCCCCGGGGTCACATAAAGTAGGGCCATCCGGGGCAGACAGGTCTTCTGGGTCTTCCCAAGAGTTTTCAGGAATGTGGGCATAGATGTGGGTCAGAGAAATGCCTGTGGACATTCCATTCCTGTGGACAAAATGCCTGTACAATTCCTAGAATTCTTGCGAATTGCACACAATACTGTACCATTAGGCTCCTCCCTGAGACGTCGCCAAAAAGCAGGAAATTGTGTCTCAGAGGGTTATGAGTGTAAAAATTTTTTTGGAAGAATACCACGTATCCCAACTATGGTCATGTCTTTAGGACTCAATGTGCTGAAAGTTACTTAATGCGCTGAAAGGTATCCTGTACCTGACCCTTACACTGTGAAAAAATTCTGTTGAGAACCCTGATGAATGAACTGCTTCAATGTTCTTGATGTTTTGACAGGTTGCCCAACTTGTGGAAGATGTCCAGCGGTTACAGAGCACCCTGGCCTCCTTACGCGAGTCCACCTCCTCTCAGATCGCCAAGTTGGAGGACGAGGTCCACAAAAAGACCCTCGCCTTCAAGACACTGGAGGAAAAACTTCAGACACAGAAGGACTACGAAGAAATCAAAAGGGAACTAAGGTAAGAAATCTATGATAGGAGAGACATGTAGGTTTACAAATGCAGTTTTGAATTATGAAGGGTATTTTTCTGTTTTCCACTTTTAATTTTTTTTTTCTCAAACTGTTACTGTAACAGTATACTGACAAAATTTCAAATTTCAGTCAAATTATGTCCTAAAGCATTATACAATGTAGCTGATAAAAAACTATTCTAGAAGAATACTTAGTATTTACATTTAAGATACATTTACATGTATGCCGTATTTGATACAGATATTTACTAAAACTTTAAGTTATAAAGTACCGTGAAACCTCAGAAAGGATGTTTTGGTCTTCTTGTATCAAGTGAGGTTTTATACCCAGTGGTTGGTTATAGTTCTTGAGTTTGACTATAGTAATAAAACCTCAGTCTATAATACAGAATTATTTTGTGTCTCCCAGTATCATGAAGTCAACAGAGTTTGGCCAGAGAGAGGAGAGCAGTGACAATGAGGTAAGAAATAACAGTCACTTTGGTGACAACAGGGTCATGCATACCATATACTGTCAGTGTGTAGACATTGGGCAGTGATCACAATGGGACAAATACACTGTATTACACATATTTCTGTGGTGACAATTCTAGGATATACATTTGACAATCAAAATCATTATACTGAATAATGAAGGCAATAGATATATTTTGTACTGGTACTGATACATTTCTGGCAGCTACGGTGATCATCACTAGAATACACATTAGATTAGGGACTAAAACAGTTTGTTGTTGGGGAGAATATACTCTAAAGCAGAGATTACACACTAAACAGAAGTGAAGGCAATACACACTTGACACTGATGACAATAGAGAATACACACTCAACACTGATGACAATAGAGAATACACATTTCACACTGATGACAATAGAGAATGCACACTTGACACTGATGACAACAGAGAAGATGCACAGCTATTGTGACGTAATCGTTAAACCTCACCTACTCCATTATAACACTTAGAGTACTAATGCTGTCTATACTTAACCAAACCATATACAACTACACACATGTATATAAAATAGAATGGAGCTGAGAGGTCACATGCCATGAGACACAACTGGGCTAGATGTAGAAGCTGTCAAAGCTGGCTCTTTTTTTTTTTTAATCTCAAGGATACTGTTTTATGTGGCATGTAGTGTGTCCACGTTGTATACAAGATACATGTTCTGTGTCAGTGATAGTTTATACCTTTATGTATTGAATGATCCTTCCCTCCTAGGACACGGATGGAAAGTCCCTTGAGGTCCTGCTTCTGGAGAAAAACAGAAGCCTGCAGTCTGAGAACACCACTCTGAAGATGTCCAACAGTCAGCTCACAGGTACAGCTCCAGGCTTTCACACCTCACACAGCACAGTACAGCACAGTACAGCACAACCAAGAACATGCACCTGTAGTTTTAAAGGGGCACTATGTAACATTCTTGTACACGTACCAAAAAGTGAAATAATTTATTCTAAATATTTGTATTATTGTAATTTACTTAATACGCTTTTCTTCAACATATTTGTGTAATTATATCACATTTCTGACATTAAAAGCTGGTGCTAAAACAGCCCACACAAGGTGCACTCAGTTTGTGGTGCCACCATAAACTAACAGAATGTAAACAAACATGGCTGACAGCTGTGTGTATTCCAAGCTTTTAAACACACTCGTAAGGCGTCATATTTTGGCACCTACACTTCCTGAATGACACTTATTGCATAAGGTATAACTACAAACCCACATTGCCATACAGTTTTCTTTGGCTGTGGTGTCAAATTGAAGTTCTATCTCATTAGGTTTTACCAATAAATGTGCCTAGAGGTCATGCCTAAGGAACTCAAGCTAAAGAAGAAAGTATTCGTCTCATCAAATCTACACTTGTAATATCATAGTTGTATTCGACATACCAACGTTATGCTATCTGTATATCAGATTGCAAGATGAGTACTGTTAATATCTTTGGAGGTTTCCTGGTATAGATAACCTTCAAAAGAATGTAAAAAAGACACATTCTATGAAATGTAGAATTACGTACTAAATACATACTTTTCTAGGCAAGTTTTCTTGATAAATGCTTTGTCACAAGGAAAATCTTTGATGCTAATCGGAATTTAGATAACGTTGATCTAAGACGATAGCAGTGGTCATCAATGATCTAAGACCGTAGCATCGGTCCACAATGGGTTTGGCTCGGACAAACCACCTCTGGGCCAGCTGGCTTTTGTCCAGTTGGCTTCCAACTGGCAAACGTAGATATTATATAAGTACTGTAGATCAAAGATAAGTTGTTGTTATGGAAGAAGGGTAGCCTGGGATCTGCAAGAAAGGTTTTGCCGTCCAAAGTCTTGAAATGTGAAATTTTTTTCCGTATCGACCACTTGCCACCTGTGCCTCTCCTGGAGAGTGTTGTCTCTTTCTTTCCGTCTTTCATTCTCAAACTTTGTCTTGTCTTGAAATTTCCTGTTTCTAGTCAAGGCTGTATAGCCTACCTATATACAGTACTGAAAGCTCTCATTTGTGGTGTGGAGGCTGACCACTCTTCTACATGTACGTGTATGTACAACTCTATCTTTGAAAATCTTTTGCAGTTTCCAAAGGCTCACCTTTTTTCTCAAAAGTTCAAACTCCTTGCTTTGGGAGAGGCTCAGATCAGGCAGATGGAAGAACAGTCTTACCCTGGTAACAAGACCACGACACAAGGAAGGAAAAATTTCTACCAAGATAAATAGAACCGTGATTCTAAGAAGTTTACTATTCAACTTGCGCTCAGTGCCACCACATTTTATAATGGTGCCTGAGTCGAGAATTGAGATTTCGGTGTGGCAGTGTTTTTATTTTTTCTAAAGAAAAGGAGATGTTGTCCTTTCAACAGTTACTGTGGTCTTGTTCCAGGCTTTGAATTGAAATATACCACCTTCCCTTTCCAGAAGAAGTGCCAAAATTGTACGAAATCCATACGTGTAACCATAGATTTATGAAAAGATTACGATATCACTTTTTCTGGGAAGATGGAAGGTGGTAGAATGCTCCAAACATGGCGTCAGTTTTTTCGTTTGGTCAGTTGTCCCTGAGAACGGCTGTGTGATACCTTTCTTGCAGGGTCCTCAGGGCGAAGCTTGGAACCCGCGGGGATGGTGGGCCTCTCCGCCCTGGACCAACAAAATGTGCTTGCTTTCACCACAATGCTTGGTGAGGAAATAGCCGCTTCCTTCCAGAACGGAGCGGTCAATCACGATAAAAATTCTCAGGACGGGAAACAAGCGGCGAGCAGCAACGGCAACTCAAGCCGCGTGGTTGTTTTGCCGGCAAACGTGCCGCTGGTCGGAGCGAACGTGACGACGGCTACAGCGTCTTCTGGAACAGATGACCTTGACACCTGGTAAGTCCATGTCTGTAGTATCTGTGCTACTCTGTAATTTCTCGTGCAATGTCATACACCGAAAAAAGTAGTGTACTAGTAATAAATGTCAAATTTCATACACATATATTGCCAACCTCAGCATGAGATGCCTAAAGTTTGGCTTCAGTTCCATATATGTGCATCCTGTATGTTGTAAATGTGCAAAGTTTCAAGTATTTTTAAGGATTAAGACATACATGTACTAAACTTCACAATGTTAAACTGTCAACATACCAGTAAAAAATTAAAGACAGGACAATTTTGACCAGAGCAGATATATATATCTTTAAATGCCATAGCTCCCACAATGCAAAAGTAGGTAAATATATATAAAAGACTGCTTTATTATTAGAAAAATACTGAAACTCATGATAAGCCCTACTCGATTGTATATTATACTAGCCCTTGTTGTTTTAGTAATTAGGATGTTAAGTTGTATTCTATACCTTTTTGTACCATGCTCAATAGTTGTTTCCATACATTTTACTATGTGCAATTTTCCTGCAATAAAGTTTTTTTTTAATATAAATTTTATTATACAGAGCAACTAGATTAGAACTTCTGTTGAACTTGTTTACAGGGAGATAGCCAGGCAAGTGAAGGACCTTTTGCTCCACAACAACATTGGCCAGAAGGTGTTTGGTCAGCATGTTCTGGGCATGAGCCAGGGATCGGTCAGCGAGATCCTGTCCAAACCTAAGCACTGGTCAAGACTGACCTCCAAAGGAAGGGAGCCGTTCATCAAAATGTACTCATGGCTGCAGGACAAAGAAAATATAGCCAAACTGAAGGCAGCTGAGGGCAGGGACAGAGGTGTGTATGGTAAGAACATTTAGTTCTGCACAAAAATATCTCATACGACTGCTCTTTATTTAGAGGCTATCATTGGCCATGCAGGGCTGGAAATGCTACCCACATATGCAGGTTAGTTCAGGTAAAATTGGAGCTGCACCCGTCCATTTATTGGGTTTGTATGCACCTGTAGGCAATTTTCTCTGTATTGACTGTCACCACCTATGAAGTGCAAAAAAAAAAATAATGGCAGTGGTTTCGGAACAGTTTTAGTATCATCCATACTTCCTAACTTCCTAAATTTGAGTGGTGCAGGTAAAATTTGTCTGGTGCAGGTAATTTCAATGTTACCTGCACCAGTGCAGTGCAGAAAAAAAGTATTTCCAGCCCTGCCATGTACATGTATACAGTATATATATGATAATTATACACAATGTATTACAGACACAATGTATTAAAGGCATCATGCTTTGCCTAAGTTGACAAATCATGACAAAACAACATCACAGACAAAGGCATGATAGACATATATAGGGGCCTTTAAAAATAGTGTTATTGACATGATGTAGGTGGAAATAATAGGTCTGGACAACTTTTTTTGTCAAATATGGAATAACTGAACGGTTGTATGAAGTGGTGTGAACCAAAATAGTGAAGTATACTTGAATGTATAGTATTTGAATGTATCATGTTGAAAACCATGCAACTAAATCTACTTGACTGTGTGTTGACATGTATGTTACAGATCCGGTGCGACCTAACCCATCTGAATCCGATGCTGCCATTGCCATGATTCTGGAGCGGGCGCGGCAGGAGATGGCGGCGCAGCAAGCACGTGCAAGAATACCCCCTCCCCTCCCTCTGTCCCCCCTGACCAGAATAAGTCCCGTCCCCTCCTCCCCCCTCACGACGTCCATCCCCCAGCACATGTCCCCCCTCCTCCCCAGTTCTCCTACCCTAGCACAGTCTACAGAGCTCCAACTTCCCCGGCACCCACCCATATCGGTGGCCTCCATGAAAGACAGTTTACACGTCACACCTTCTCACACAGTTGTAGCATCGACTTCAGTTGTCTCCACCGCACCCACAGCCACGAAATCAACGTTGAACAGCGCCGAGACGATCCTTCCTGTTTCCTCGGCGCGGCAGATCTCATCAATATCCGCAATGTCGTCGCGTTTGATGTCGGTCGCGGCCACGCGATCGCTGTCACCAGAACCAGTGCCTAGCTACACGACCATTGCAAACTTTGCCGGTATGTCGCACCCCTCCCTCCCTACCATCTCTTCACTCAACAAACCGCCACGCACCGTGCCTCCGCCACTCACGTCGGACCAGTACCAGAAGTTTAACGACATAGACACCATGGATCTGACCAGGAAAATCAAAGACACGCTGGCGAGGCTGGCCATTGGACAGAAGGTCTTCGGGGAGAAGGTCTTAGGTCTCTCACAAGGAAGTGTCAGTGACATGTTAGCGCATCCCAAACCGTGGTCCAAGTTGACACAGAAGGGAAAAGAGCCGTTCATCAGAATGCAGCTGTGGTTGGAAGAGGTGGAGCACACTGGAGGGGATGCCATGGGTATGACATCAATAAGGAACAACACCCCGAGATTGACAGGTAAATCTGGCTTTCTTAGCAAACTTTGGGCAAGAAGCAAGACCAGTTTAGAGTCTTGTTTCAACACAAGCCATGTGACAAGTGTCAGTGGGTCAGTCTATTGAAGAAGACTTATCTAGAGTGACTTGTCAAAAGCTCTAGGCTAGAACAATCCTTTGTGTTGGAGCAAAAGTAATAACTTCAAACATGTAACTACCAACACATGTTTTATGCCTCAGAGGTAAGGAAGCGTAAAACCACAGAGATTCTATGTACAATACATGTATAAACCAGTCAAGATCTTTGAGCATTGAACCGTCATAAACTATCTTAATATGATAGATCAAAGCCAAGCACTTTTTCTGTGCTGCAGTGAAAAAAAAGCTATAATTGTGATTAAAGGTCTAATATCAAAGGCTCTCTGTGTGTACAGTATATGGTCAGGTATTCACCCTGAGTTATAATTAGGCTCAGCTTATTTATTAATAACAATTTCTTTCCCTACTTTCTACTGCACAGAGCCCAGACCAGAGATGGTCCTACCCTCCTTACCTACCACATGTAGCAGTAGACTGGCCAGTACCAGTCCACCCGTCACTGTTGCCACTCCAAAACACGTGCCACCCCCCGTCAACAAGAGGGTCCCTCCCGAGTCCAAACCAATGACCATACAAGAACTTGTTGCCCTCTCCCCCGACCTGGACACATACGCCATCACCAAGAGAGTGAAGGAGGTTTTGATGGAGAATAACATAGGACAGAGGCTGTTTGGTGAGACCATTCTGGGCCTGACGCAGGGGTCAGTGAGTGACCTACTGTCCAGGCCTAAGCCATGGCACAAGCTCAGCTTAAAGGGTAGAGAACCCTTCGTACGCATGCACCTGTGGCTGAGCAACCCAGAAGCCATTGCACAGGTCAAGGCCATTAAGGAAGAAGCCAAAGGTATGGGTCATAATGACATATTATACAATCTATCAGTGATGCTTGTTCTACATGTATGTATAACTTTCTGGTATAGACTGACGTTGGATGGAGAATATGATCAACTGGTACAATTCTTATTTGTGGTACAATTCTTATATGATCAACTGGTACAATTCTTATTCTATGAGAAACATTTGCTATTCGTCAGTTGTAAAGGTTGACATATTTTGGCAATGGTTTGAAGTCATGGAACTCTAGTCTTAGTATGTCCTAATAAGTACATACTACTTGAAACCTTTTTTGATACTTAATGCTAGAAGCCGAGAATGTGTTATGACCAAGCGTATTAAAAAAAAGACTTGAATCAACTGGCCCCAATATTTATGGATGAATATTGAGATAATCCTTGTTTGTATTCACAGCACATCGCCGTCGTCACTCCACCTCCAGTCTATCTGACAGCAACTCTTACGATGGCCCACACCACAAAAAGCAGCGAGTTGTTCTCTCACCTGAAGAAAAGGAGGCCCTGAGAAAGGCGTACGAGCAGGAACCGTACCCGTCCCCCAGCACCATCGAGTACCTGGCCGCCAAACTCAACCTCCGACCCTGCACCGTGACCAACTGGTTCCACAACTACCGCTCGCGTCTGCGGCGGGGCTCCTTCAACGAGACCCACCATCAGCAGGAGCAGCAGCATCAGCAGCAGCTGCAGGCAGCCATCAGCGAACTGCATCAGCAACAGCTGCAGATGTTGACCATCAACCTTCCAGCAACCCCGAACGACCTCCCCACCATGGTCGTCATCAACCAAGATGGCGCCCTGAACCTCAGCAGTAGGGACAGCGCTCCCAGTCTCTCCGAAACTGTTGTCGTAGCAACGGCGGGAAACGGCCAGAATCAGGAACATTCCGTGAAGACTGAGGCCAGGGAGTGGGACAGCCGCAGTAGAGACAATGGTCTGGGACTGGCCGAAAGACACGGTTCGGAAAACTCTGAGACTGTCGTGTGTAAGACAGAAGTGGACAGTTGGAGTGACACAGAGGAGATGGAGGTGGAGGAAAGCAACTCTCACAGCAGCCAAGAAATGATCCTGCCGACTGCGAAACAGGTCGTGGCCGTAGGAAGGGTGGATAACCCCTCGCCAGGCAGCCCTGCGGACCTGACGCCGCTAGTGTCTATTAACCAGGATGGCGTTCTGAACCTGAGCAGCAGAGAGGACGCAGACGACAGCTCACAAGGCAGCCAGATTACTGCTGTCAAGAGGCTGGAGAACAGCATCAAGGAGGAGGAAGAGATGGACCAGTGGGAGTTTTAGAGCAAAGAATCATGCCTCATAAAAAACAAAAGCCAAGCTCTACATGTCTGGTGGTGTATGTGTACATGTACAATGTGCTTGGAATATGCTATGTCATGCTTTTATGTCAAAGAAAACATAGACTAGCAAAAAAAGCAAGACTCTCTTGCTGTGTATCACTAAATATTGCACTGTTGAACCAAGAACTAAGTCTGCTGGCCAAGAGTGCATTTTTGGAGCTGTATTAGCTCATTGGCAAAAAAACAAAGGTTGCAGATATCATTATATTACAATGGTGCCATTTTTAGCTGATACTAATTTCAGGGCTGGAAATACCACGTGCATATGCAGGTTAGTGCAGGTAGAATTGGAGCTGTGCAGGTGGTGTGTACCTGCACCAAACTGCACTGTGCAGGTAATTTTCAGTGTTACCTACTAGTGCAGGTATGCTGAAAAAAGTATTTCGAGCCCCAAATTTCAATTTCAGTACTACCTTTCGCGTAACCCTTAGATTGTTCTGCCTATCTGAAGACTGATTATTTTTTAAATGCTTGGGTGCTGCTCAATGACAGTGCTTATTCTCCTACTACAAAATGTATGTGCAACACACAATTGGGTATACAGTAACTTGGAAACAGAAGACTTGAAGTGATACAATATCAGACTTTTGGCAATAAAGTTCCAACAGAAAGCACTAAATAACTAATCATCACCAAGTCTAGAATGCCTATAACAACTCCCCATACCACCACTGCCCCAAAAGATGTTTTAATATAAACAGAAATATGATGTTATTGTGGAAAGGATAGCAGGCCACAAAGAAATGGGACTAGTTGGTCTGTTATTCCAGCAATGTGTCCTAGAATCATGTGTAAAATTGCTTCCCATAATCATGTATTTGATGGAATTGTAGTTTTGTAACATTGTCAATATGTGCAGTATAATATATAATATAGTAAGAAAATATCGATGTAGTTGTGGCTTTATGTCAAATCCTCAAGTTAAAAAGGAGTGAATGTCGAAATGTGTCATTACTGTTGCCTTCATGATACACCCCTGTGAGATAACATGGTAGGTCCCACCTTGAACAGGTTATCATACTCTGACATGCAGTCACAGGACTGGTGTATCTAAAGAATAGGGGTGTAAGGTAATATGGGACAAGGGTAGAAGCTGTCCCGTGTTAAGTGTAATAAAAACTGTGGTCAGCTGCAATTGAGTGTGATAGTTTTGTAAAGCTGCCTTCCATTTTTATGTACCTTAGGGTAGAAGTATGTAGTGTACAGTATAACAGAAATAGGTATTGTATAGATGTGTGTGAAAACTGGGAGCAAAACATGTCAGTATTAAAACCACAGGAGCATCTCGTAACCTGTAGTAATTTTGTACCAATTGTGATATTTTTGTACTCGTCCGTAACACTGTGCAACAATGTTATTTGTGGAAAAAAAAGAGAATTCTACACAAATATGAAATAAGTCCTCATGCCCTGTTAAAGTGCATGTACTAAGTAGTACAATGTATTTGGATTATGAGCCTTCATGTTACCATGTGATGTCAGAAATGTTGGGCTATTCCATTTTTCAAATTTTGCATTGGAGACACCAAAGAAAAATAGCCAAGGTGCATCAGAGTTTTAGCCATGGAAAGAGAACCCTGAAAGAGTTTTGAAAAATTCAAATAAAGGGGGTAGGGGGCTGGAAAGAAAATTTTTTTCATGTAGGTCCCCCCTTGACATGAATGAAATGGAACAGCCTTACCTTGTCTTGAATGCCATTTTGAGATGTTCTCAATGTTGTTCTGATCCCATGCAATGGTAGTGTTTGTAACTCCTTACACTTAAAGCATGGCAAAGTCGCCTTTTTAGGACAAACAGATAGTTAAATGTCAATACTGTCGCCTGTCAATGTTTGCCATTGCATGTACAAGTCAGATATTTTTTCTTTAACTTCAGAATTTTGCTCTTCAGGTCTCTATTAGCAAGTACATGTACCTCACTTATTGTAGTTCCATACCCATCTTCGTGTATGGCTTTCTTTGCAGCATACATTTGTAGGCTAGCCTTCTCAGTCAAATTTTAGTCACATTTAGATGTGCAAAGTTTTGAAGGTACTAGGTGCTGAGTTTTTTCTAGAAGGACAGTGTTCAAGGCTCTATTATTAAGTATTGTGATGTACAAGTTCTCACAAACTTTTTTATTGTCAACTTTCATGTTGTCCCAAGTATGCAGTGATAATCTGAGATTCGGCCACAGATTTCTTCCACTTATTTTTTTTTGGATTTGCAGAAAAACAACATTCAGGTTCTGAATCAACTCCAAAATGCTCATAATTTGGCCTCAACAGTTGAAGAAAGTCCTTGTCTTCCTCGTTGTTAGTTTCTTCCATTTATCAATGCAGTGCTTTGATTAAAAAGTTTAAAATTCATTGCTTGAATTATACATTAAATTTTGTAAACCAGCCTGATATATTGACTTCATGGCTCTTATTATAACATTTGGGTCTATCAAAGAATGCCTAGTCATGTTTTTCCCTCTTACAGCTCCATATTTTTTCTGAGAACTAACAAATCAAATTTGTCTGGGCTTAGCCACACATTCTGTATTTTACAGCTAACATTTGCTGGTATATGTGCATCTAACAGGTGTACATGTAGTTGTGTGCATCTACTCTGTCTGACAGTACAAATCGTATTAGAACAAGGTAAACATGACAATAGTCAATGTTCAAACTGTGTCTTAGATGTCAGAAAAAAGTCCTTATGTAATGGAGACATTAGAAATATATCCTTAAAAGTATTGTGTATTAGGTGCATTTTTAATATGTTTTTTTGCAATATGTTTCTACTCATTTTATACTTTATTAGTTAAATTGTGTAATCTGTAAGATAACTTACATAAAATGTTAGTTCTTTTTTAATATTTTATACCATTAACAAATACTGTGTCACCTTATATATTTTGCTATGTACTGTATACGTAACCCTGTGTAGAATAGGTATGGTCCTTGAGATAGCCTATAGTTTTCTGTGTTGTACTAAAACATGTTATAATGTCTGTCCAGTCTGAAACAGGCTGGGGTATATGTGCCACTTATGTATTGTCTGTGTACTGTCTCTGTGTAATAAAAAATGTGATACCCAATCAGGCGTTTTCTTGTCAAATTATAGTTTAAAGTAACTGTTATACTTATTAACTAGATACTGTCTGCACTGAGTTTTAAAACAACAACAATACAATATGCCCCAAACCAGTGGGTTATCCATTTATGTTTTGGGACTACATTTACCAATTTTTGCATTTGGAATTTAATATAATACAATGTATTTTTCCTCATCAAAACTGTTGTTTTATTATACAATTGTGTTAATATATTAGAGAATGTTTATCTCATGGTAAGTATCACATTAAAATGTCTACGTTGGTACCAAAAGTTTTAACAAAAGAGACTGAATACAAATTTTTATGATGCTTTTGGATCCATGGAAATACGTACCTTCTCCACATGTAGTTAGTCAAATTAGCATCTATTTTAAATTGGCTGATGAATGAGGTGTTAGTTAGGCAGATGATCCATGATTTTGCCTATCATGCCTTATTGGCTTTTCATTGTAAAAGTGGCACAGTTATGATGGATTAAGAAAGCATATCATCTTTCTATCTCTTTTGAGAAATCAAAAGTAATATAGCACACCTTTGCTGTCTTCCCTCAAGTCCAACACTGTGAACACATTACATTATACTACTAGACAACAAGGATATGAATCACTTATAAGTAGTACACACACTATTATGTTGATAGACATGCTTGCCCCCCTCCCCACAGCTCAGTTCAATGACCTTCAGGGGCAGTACACTGAAGCTGTGAGCACCATGCAGGGACAGAAACAACTCATCACTAAACTAGAGGCTGACCTGGCCAGTGTCAACACCATCTCAACACTTTACAGAGGGGAGGGAGAGGTTAGTACTTGTTGCTTGGAAAAAAAGCTGAGATTCCTCACATTCTAGCTTTTGTCAATGAGTCTGCCATAAAAGTGAGTTACTCAAATTCATCAAAATGTTCCATAGAATAATTCAAATGTGTTTCGCGTGCACTGAGTTTGCCGCTTTCGAAACTTCGAACACAAAATTCGGATGTTGAATAAATAATATAACAGTGTATTCCGTATCGCCCGAGGTACCAGCCCGACAGCGGGTCGTATCGCCCGACAGCCAAAGTATTCTATATGTACTGCACTGTTATTTTAGGCAAAACTGTTATTTTGGTATATGGGTCTTATTACCTGGATGTCTAATTTTTGTTGACGACTGTTTGCATGATTTAGCCTGGGTACCATCCTACTTGTATGCCGGGGCTCCTACACTCGCTTCCCTAACAAGTACATGTACTTGTAAGGGAAGCGAGTGTGGGTTTTTGTCGACAGGATGAATGTTTTTGGTTTGTGGGTAACCAAATGAGTGTCTCCCACCACACATCTTGTCCAGGGCTCTGCTAGTCCAAACATCACCTCCGAGCTTGTTGCCGAGGCTACCAGAGAGGCTACAGCGAAGAGTCAGGACGGCGCGCCCTCCAGCACGGAGTCGCTCCTGTCGATCGTGTCCAGTCAGAGGGAACGCTTCCGCCTACGCAATCAGGAACTGGAGGGGGTAGGTTTTAGTAGGGCTACAACATGTATAGATCTATAGATAGACAGAAAGATGCTGTATTTAACTATGTAGTAGGTTGATAGATACTGTAAATTACGATTTTCACAGTACTTTATATTCAGGATTTTTGCGGTAACGTCTGTACCGCGAACCTATCGATACTGTGAACAGATAATTCGGCAACTTTCTTTTTGATGCACCTGCCACCACAGCCAACATATATTCCACAAAGTCCATTTTTCTCAGACCGCAAACTTTTGCTACTGTGAACAGAAAGTGGTTTACAGTATACACTCTGGTTAACTCTATGCATATTTTGACCAATGTTGCTCACTTTCAGTGGGGTAACTATTCTCTTGACTTGAACGGAAACTGGTAGCATTTTGGGCTGTCAAACCAGGTCCCCATGTACCACGTGCCGGGGGTAGCTTTTTGCAGATGGGTCGGTGAGCAATAGAAGACTCGGCATAATACAGGAAGTCAGCAGTTAAAGGGAAATCAGCTGGATAGGTCTGTGGGTATACATGTAGCTCGCTTGGGTGCATAGTAAAAGCTGGGGTAGGTTTCCAACACAAGAAATTGGACTTACCTAAATTTTTGACTGTACATCTCTCGTCTTCCTCAAGGAATGAGCTAACTACCGCTTCCGTGTTCATGTTTTTCTGTATCTTCAGGAGAACCGTCAGCAGCAGCAGCATGTACAGATGTTGCAGAATGAGCTGGACAACCTCAGGTCTGACAACGTCAAGCTGTATGAGAAAATCAAGTTCCTGCAGAGCTACCCAACCAAGGCCATGACAGCCACAGATGACACAGAGAGTCGATACTCCAGCCAATACGAAGAGAGGCTTGACCCTTTCTCTTCCTTCAGCAGAAAGGTTGGTAGAAAAAATTATATTCAAGTCAGTTATTATGTATCTGTACATTGTAGTTCAAACATTATGTAGGTTTACAGTAAAAAGAGTATATTAAGAGCTTTTCAATCTCAAACACAGATAAAATTTTGTTTATTGTGTAATATGATATATGTTGTACATGTACCATCATGTTGTTTTGTACTGGTCATTGGATGTTGTATTTCCTAATTCTTTTACAGGAACGGCAAAGAAAGTACATGAACATGAGTCCATATGACAAAGCAACCCTCAGTATGGTATGTAACACTTGTTGCTTTTAAAACCTGTATAAGAAAGGAATTGCTACATTATATCACAATTCATGATACAACTATTGACAGTTATAAAAATTGACATGTGACTGTAACAATCTAAACAAGGATATTGGTTGAAATTATATGTCATGTAATTGTGAATTGATGCTGCCTCAAGAATTTTGAAATTCCATATGTTTCGTGTTTACTTTGTACTAAATATGTACATTGCTGATGATTATTGTTGCCTTACTCTTGAAACTTGCATATCGAAGAATTGTTGAAACTGATACATCAATGTTTTTCTGCCTGATCCAGGGACGTGTCATCCTATCCAATAAGATCGCTCGAACCATCACCTTCTTCTACACCCTATTCCTGCACTGTCTGGTCTTCCTGGTCAGTATAAACTACATGTACATGTATAATAGATCACTTTTGTAATTCATTTTCCCATTCTACAGTATTCAACATTAATAACAGTTAACTGATATACATAATCGTGATGTATCTTTGAATTTTTTTCACGATCACCATGCCTGCAGGTTTTGTACAAGCTTGCCTACACTGAGAGCTGCAAGAGGGACAGTGCTGCTGACTGTTATCAGAAGTATGTGTACCTTTCTGCCCATTTTTTTATGTTTATTGCCACCGAAACATCTTCATCTTCATCTTCATCTTTGCCGGGGCTCAAAGATGTTATGTGAGCCCCGGCTACACCCCCATATAGCCCCTGATGGGGCACTTTAGGGGGGGGGGAGGCCTTGGTTTAAGGCGGGCAGGCCTCCAGCCTGGCCCGGAAGGACTCAACGGTGGGAGCCATAACTACCGGGCCAGGCAAGGCGTTCCATTGGGGGATTGTGCGAGGAAAGAAGGCTGTGAATCGGCTGTGAATAAAACACTTGGTTGTGTAAAAGAGTCTCTTTATTCAGTACTACTTACCAACCAGTTGAAACTATTCACATATTAAAGTTTTATGACACTAACTGACTGTCCCTCCCCTGTAGGTTTGCTGAACACATGCAGCAGTTCCATGAAGACCCACACCAGGGCTGATCTTCAGTATTATTGTTTAGGTTTATAAAAGTGATGTGGAAACTATCCAAGGTCAATGACTATTGCCTAAAATTGAAGGTAGTGATATGAATGTTGAACGAAAATGAATTCAAACTACAGAACAGTATAGGGATTCCAACATATTAGAATTACATAGGGTTATGGCACCCATTCCTTAGTTTGAAAATTTATAGAGCAGTTAACAAACTATCTACACAAGTGGGCACATTGTACAATTGTTTTATGTTTCACCTACACCTCTGATAACCTAAAACATATTTTAATACAACCGGTGCAATGCGTTAAACTTTTGAATAAGTAAGTTCAAGATTGACACTTACATGTATGTGAGCATGTGTTTTAAACATTGTTCCCAATTATTTACTTAGACTTGTACTCAAGCATTCTAGTGGCTTGTTATCATCTTCCACTATATAATTATATTTACCTAGCTTTGGAGTGCAGGGAAAATGTTGTAGTAAGACTTGATGTGTGTGGTATGTTAGGTCACTTTCTATATATCAGACAGTATCACTTAGTCTTATTTATTATTACAGGTAAAGCAGAATTTAAAACGCAGGTGTTGGGGACATTTTTGTTGCTTTTACTGATGATAGCATAATGCCATTTCACAAAAAATGAACATTAAATAAAATGTAAATAGCTAGTGCCAACAGACTCAGTTCAATATTCATGCACTAGATTACATGTAGCAAATTTCTTCTTAGCAATAAATTGTGTAAAGATTCAGTAGCATGTCAGCTATTTTGTTTTCCTTGTTTTTTTTTCATCTCTGTTCTTTATTGAGTATCGAATACATGTGTACATAGATGATAAACTGTTACATCAGATTCATCAATTTCTGTCTGTTTGAACAAATCTTTCACTTAATTATCCTGACAAATTGTCTGATACCTTTACATTAATGGCATTATTTGTTTTCCTTGTTTGTGAATTCTAGTTATCTTGGCAATAAAGTTAAGGCTTGTATTAATTTTTTTCTTTATCTTCTGTCTTGGTCATTTACATACATGATCAGACCTTCCTGCTTTAAATCTTTCAAATCTAGGGAATTTTTGAAACATGATTGTCAGAAGCAGACAGAGGTGCTAAAATTCTACAAAATGGCCCAGCCAGATTTACAACAAATTCTAGTTAACAACATTCCCCTGGTTTACTCAAAGTACAGTGCCTACATGTTAATCTCTAAAAGTCTTCAGGAAGCAGCTGGAAAAAGTTGAAATTTGCATGTAAATTTCAAATCTGGAAAGGAATAGAAATTTGCCCAATAGACAAATTATATGACTGGGGAGTTGGTCTGGTAAAGAGTACAGTTTGCTGATTCCAAACTCTTTAGTGGACCAACTCCCCTGACAAAATTATTTGTCTATTGGGCAAATTTCTACTCTTTCCATCCCAAAGCCAGCTAGAGGCTTACCTACTTTCATAATATACCGGTTTACCCCAGTATATGCACATTATGCTAATGTAAAAAAAAAAAAAAACTACAGAAACCTAGGAACGTGAGATACAGACACCAATGACAACTCTCCGTCCCAGACAGAGAAGGCAGGGTACAGTGGTTGGGAGAAGTGTGCGAGGAATGTGTGTAAAATCCTCCGCCTATCCACATCACAGAACGACAGTCTCCCGCCACGATAGTCCAGCAGAACTCCCAGCCTCTCTGGCGACGGTATTTCTAGGGGGAAACTTTTCCCGTTATGTCTTCCGGAGCGTTCCATAGAGCTGTGCACCAGGCACCATGACGTGTTATTGTCTCCCAGACAAACATGCCGTGGCGCATTCTCATACGCAACACCAATCCTGTACGTTAAACCACTAACATTGACTTCCCAATAATATACACCACTCGATACAGACACATCACCAAGGACTGTAGGGTTTGGGAGGAATCTCGTGTCCACAAATCGGTCACGACTGAAGGAGTTTTTTTTTCTGTCGTTCTTGATTGTCTCTCTGTGAACGGTGGTGTTATTGTGCGAGAGTCGTATGTCGTGGTGAGCTGTGTTGGGGTCGAACTGGAAGTGGAGGATAGATGCCGTGTGGTAACTGGTGGCTTCCTGGAGACTGAAGTCTGTATGAGGGTAGGCTGGGCCTTCAGAGTCTGTCATCACAAGGGGCTGGGGTATTCTGAAAACAGATCAAATGAGAATCTCAGACCTCCATGAAATATTTAGATCTTATATGTGATGACGACTCTGTCCTTTCCTCATTCACCATGGTGTCTGCAACACTTTCTTTATCGTGCAAGGAAAACAAGACTTAGCTGTCAAGGAGGTAATGTAATGAAAAAACACAGCGAGTGCTACCAAATGTAGCTTTATCCCTCTGGGAAAACTGGACCCAATAATATCCATTACAACCTCACCTAAACTAAAAAAGGCCATGTGGAAACACAGACACACACACACACACAGACATACCAAAAACAATGCATCCACTAGATTCAAATGAAAGTTTAAAAAAAAATCAGTATCATAACAGGCTGTTACAGTACAGTACTACTATATTCAATTTAAAGCTTCAGTGCTACCGGTACCTAATCCCTGACCTGTTGTATCTATGGTAACCAACAGTGGCTACCTGTCAAGCCCCTGTGCCGTGTTCTCAGCCTGTTCCAGGGCTGTGGCCAGGTAGTCCTGCTGGGAGCCGGTCCTCAGAGCTGTACAGAACTGACGGAACGCCTGGTCTCCTCTGGTAGGGAGAACCTGCAGCAGGGCTTCATTCATGGCCTGACGGGAGCCTCCTGTGTTTCTGTCAACCCAAAAATTACAGATCATGAATACAAATGTATCTTAAACAGTTCACACTTCACACTACACTTCACTACCTGATAATACTACATAAATGTTTTCCAATTGAGGCTTACCAAATGCCAATACGTAACAAAATAATGCAAAATAACAAAGACCATGTACAGTAGCAAAAAACAGCAGAGCTAAGAAGTACAGGGTCTTTGCCTTAACTAAGGCTTCAGGAAGCGTAGTATTTGGCATAATACTTGGCCAATTTGTACTCTTTCCAGTTGACACACTACTAGTAAATCCCAAAGCCTGGTAGAGGCTAACAGGGTCTAAGAACTGGAAAAGAGTGCAACTTAACATAAATTATTTATATACCTGAGCTGAAGGAATCCATTCTGTAGATGGATAGAGAGAGAGAGTTAGAAAGAGAGAGAAGGGAAGCAAAAAAGCATTGTAACTAAGACATTGTCATTATGATTATATAATACGTATAATCAGGGCTCGAAATACTGGGTGCATGTGCACCCAAAATTGGAGCTGTGCACCTAATTTTTTTCTGTGGGTGCAATTTCTGTAGGAATTTTTTTACATTAGAAATATAATATGCCGGATATTTGTGGTCTCTAAGTATCAGAAAAATAATAATCTTTGTTGTAGTTAAGACTTTAAAGTTAGCTCTCATTTTAGATTCAAGCTCAGAATAGGAGCAGTAAGACCTGCAAATAGGTTTAATTTGTTTCATGTGGTGCACCCAAAAAAATTTTTTGTGCACTTAATTTTTTAGGTTGGGTGCACCAGTGCACCTATTCCCAAATATGAATTTCCAGCCCTGGTATAATACATGTGCTATGTAACTAGTATGAAGAGGTAACAACTAGACTTCTCCTGCTCACAGGATCTCAGCCTCCAGCCTGTCCGTGAGAACCCCTGTACCCAGCAGGTGAGGTAGAACATGGCGGGTGTGCATGTCTCGTACTAGCACGGCGTGGTGGTCACGTAAGATGGCACGATGTAACTCAGACATGCTGCCAACTACAGGAGCAGTACCGTCTGGGGAGGAAAAAACAACATCGTCAGTGTTACTGATAGTGTTAGAACGAGAAGACATTAATATTTTCATTACTGTAATTAAATGTTCTCGGTAGCAAAATTTCACTGTCTGAGAAAAATGGAATTGAATATACATGTATGTTCATGGTGGTGCAGGTGCAGAAAAACTTAAGTTGGCAAATTATTTGATTATGATAATGATAAGTTTGCAGTACAGAAATGAAAGCCAAAACCGCGAATATAAAAGTACTGCGAAAAATTTCAGTACGTAGAAAAATTATATATACGACAAAAGTAAGCCAGATTGAACTTACATGATGGTAGTACTGAAATATATTGTAGAATTTGTTCAAGAACTGTTGTACCCTATCTGAGAAAATTTCTTGTTTAGATTGCTTCAAACGGTCCCAATAATCAAGGACGTTCTTGCAATACTATACAAAATGTACCTCTCCGTGGTGGCATGCCTGCGGCCTGCTGTACCCCGCCAGGGGGAGCTCGCCCGCGGTCTACGTTGTTCTCTTCCCTGAACTCCTCCAGAAGATACACCAGATCTTCGCGGTTACACTCCAGAAGCAGGTCTTCCAGGGCAGTCAGGTCTCCCTCAAGGATCACCCTCCTATAGGAGAAAAAAACACCGAAAAACTCAAGATAGACTCTAAAATATGAGACTGAAGACGGCTCCGTTTCAGTCAACTACAACAAATTTTTTTTGGCGCGTGGTGTTGTTTTCCTGTGGTTTTTCTCCGTTTTCAGTTCCCCAAACGCCAACAGAGAATGTTATATTCTGTAAAAAATTGTATATTTGTTTAAAAATTACCTCTTTTAAAGTTTTATGACCCGTTTTATAGAAAACATCCGCGCAAACTTTCACTTTTCACTGACCCGTCCGGACGCGTCCTGAGTTTGTTTACCTGGACAAGAGTTCCGCAAACATAGCCTTGCCGTCCGGGATCCCGCCCAGGACGGATTTGGGGATCTTGTCTCCGCACAGAAACTTGAGCGTGGTCATGTCCCTGTCCGTCAGGTTGTCGGCGATCTTGTTGAGAAGTTTTCTGAACGGAGAGACGCGGAAACCTGCCGCCGCCATTGTTTGAAATTTGGGACTCCCAGCATGCACTCTGCGGGACAGGTAAGGTCCACTTTCGTACGTAGGGGTGGCAGATAAATTATTATAATGTTATAACGAATACCTTTATTGTACAAAAATACCCCACTGGGTCAAGTACAAAGGAGTTGCTTCTGCATACAAACAAATGAACAGTAGTACTAGCACTATATATAATCTACGTAAATTCGACTTCTCTTCGTTTCTCTTTGATAGTGAAATATAGCATACTAGTTTAAGGATTAGAGGTTTGTCTAAGTTCATTAGAAAGGTGAACTTGTCTGTATTACTCAAGTGATTATTATATGGGAAGATTTGGTCAGTCGTCGACTCAAAAAGCTAGTCTCCACCAGACTTCTTTTGCCGGCTGAATAAATAGTAGAAATTGGCCTAAAAGGGGATATAATCGGCCAGAGAAGCTCCATTTTGCCCCTTTTAGGCCGATTTCTACTATTTATTCAGCCTGCAAAAGGAGTCTGGTGGAGACTATCAAAAAGCTTTGTTTTTGTTTTCCCAAGAAGTCTTAGCTTATGTATGTGATGGAAACTAAATATTGACGTTGTTCCCCTAATAGTGTCTTTCCTGGTATTTAGAGACCTATCTTCTTAACACATTCTATATTTCGATGATTTCCAACTGAACGCAATAAGTATTCCTCTTTTTAACTTTGCTGTTTTTATTGTGTAAATTACTAACACGCCAAACTGGAAATGTGAAATGTCTGTAAAATGGTATGAGATTAAAGCTCAACCACGCCTCTAGCGGCTCATTCCCAAAGTGCACATATTTGGGTTGCCGCAATCTCAGCCAGCCAATGGCAATGATCAGGTGTCAAGTCACGTTCCTCACTTCACTAACCTCTTCAACTATGACGTCGATCTTTTTGTGTGTGAGGGTACGCGCGGTTACAAGTGGTAAGCGCTCTGTGTTTTTCTACACTGAAGGCAGCTAGCCGGGTTCACAGCGCTCTGAGTATGTCTTCAATGCGGGTCAAAGTGCACTGCTGTCACCCGTAGCTCAGTCTGTACTGTAGCGGCGGTGGGCGTGGGCACGTCGTCAGGATTTAAGCAGTCAATCGCGGACGGTTTCTGAAAAAAGTTGTGTTCTCCCAATTCTAGATCTTGTCGGATCGTCTGACAACAACGATGTAAACAAGTAGGCAAAGGTACGTGGTTTTGTCACAGGTATGCGGTGGTGAACTATAGGGTCGCCGTTTGGGCATTTAAACATGGTCTTTGGACCGGGTGTAACAGGTAGGGTGGAAAGGCGTTGTTTGTTCAGTGGGGAGTGTTTTATATAACGGGCTGACGGAGGCGTGTGTTTTTATAGCATACTGCTGTGACGCACTGCATTTGTGTGCCGTAGGCAGCCATTGTGGTACTAGATATGCCGTGATACCACGCATATCCATAATGTATAAGTCTTGGACTCTCTCCCAGAACACTTCATAATATTGAGAACTGATAACACTAGCGAGTTTATCCCCTTCCAGATTACATACGCTGGGTTTTATCTTAAAACATACAAGGGTCTCCTGCACTGAAAGCGTTATGTACCCTCCCCACTCCGTGACATCCTCACCCCGGGCCCCCCCTATCCCATCCTACCCCTTCCCCCTCTATCCTATCCCTTCCCTCTCTATCCTACCCCCTCCCTGTCCCCGCCACGGTTCAAACTCGGTGCCGACGTCTGGTGTCATATATCCAGTAAAAAAATCCTAAGAACAACTTCAACAGCACTTTATAATTCTTAAGAAATCTCACACTGAAAATGCACCCGTGAATAATTGTGCAGCCCGAATTCACCAAATAAAATGCACGCTTTCCAATTATTCCCAGTTTTAAGTTTTCCGCCTATAGCAGCCCAACGTTAACAGTACGGGTGTTCATTATGAAGAATTGGAACCGAAGCACAGCCTTTATGCCAGGCTATAAATAATAGCCAGGGTCGTCGGGTCAAACCTCTCTTCTATCGCCTAGCAGCCTCTTTTCTTTCACAGCTACTCTGGGTTAAAATGAGTTTGCACGATCTTTTAACCAAAGGGAAACGCCTGAACAACATTACGGACTTAGGAAGTGTGGCATAAAAAGGTGAAGCAGAAATTACAAGAAAGAATGTGTTAAAATAATTTTCTGAGGAAAGATGTTTCATATGATATGTAAGCGTTGAGTGTGCTCTGAATTGATGCAATGTTTTAACTGCCTCTTCGAGTATTGAAATTTGTTTAGTTCCTGGACAACATTACGGACTTAGGGAGTGTGGCATAAATCAGAAAGATGAAGCAGAAATTACAGGAAAGAATGTGTCAAAATAATTTTCTGAGCAAACGTTAGGTGTTTCATATGATATGGAAGCGTGCTCTAAATTGGTTTATGTTTTAACTCAATAACTGACTCTTCGAGTATTAATATGTTAAGTTCCTGGACAATATTACAGACTTATGAATTGTGGCATTGAGCAAAAAGAGGAAGCAAAATTACACGAATGAATGTGTTAAAATAATTTTCTGAGGAAAATATTTCATATGATATGTAAGCATTGAGTGTGCTCTGAACTGCTACAATGTTCTAACTGCCTCTTCGAGTATTAATATGTTTAGTTCCTGGACAACATCGCGGACTTAGGAATTGTGGCATGGAGCAAAAAGAGGAAGCAAAATTACACGAATGAATGTGTTAAAATAATTTTCTGAGGAAAAATATTTCATATGATGTGACATAGAAGCGTGCTCTAACTTGGTTCAATGTTTTAACTGCCTCTTCGAGTATTAATATGTTCAGTGCTTAAGCAAAATATTTGTTGGCGCGTGCACACTTAGCGGAACAATTCGTGCTCTGAGCAAAGACAGTTATTGATCGGTGATCAGTGGACCGTTAGCCCGTGGCTTGCATGACGGCTATGTGTACAAATGTTGCCCCACACGCTCCTGTCATAACACCGGGTAGGTCGTGTGGGTCACTACACTCAGCCTGTCATAACAAGGAACTCAGCCGATATAACCTCAGACATGTTGTCGGAAGTTATCGGTAAAACAGTGCGAGAAGTAGCATATTCTCCCAACCCGTGCTTACTTTAATTAAGGCAAAACAAAAGGAATATTCTGGATGAGGAAATCTGTCTGATATTGACTTCTACTGCCAATTCTTAACAAATTTCGTCATCATTTAATTATACTTGAAGCGGTTGGAATACGCCCCCCCCCCCCAAAAAAAAATGTGACAGTCCCTTTATTCTTTGGGTACGATACAAAATTAACAAGCAACCATTTTCCGTCAGCGACATTGCATTTTTTTCCTCAAAGATAGATATCCGTATGCTACGGGGTTGTTTCAACTACATTAAAGGAAGGACCAGACAATTGACTTTGAAAATCCAGTTTTGCCGCCCTGAAATTGCATTGGATGCCTTTAACAATTTCTAGCCCTTGATCACGGAATAGTCTTTGACGATTCACAAAATGAAATTACGACTCTGGACTAAGAAAATATACCATACATTCTCTCGTATTTAACAGTAACTGTGATATGTGTATTTTGTTACGAAACGTGTACCTAAACACGTATTTCGTGTCAGTATGAATCAATTTCGTTCAACACGTTGTAGGTACACGTGCCACCTATGTCATTAGATATCATACCTTCATGTTCTGAACACTGGTAGACGTACATGTTACCTTCTACAAGTGTTGGGTAAATTACTAGTATTTGATTGGTTGATTGATTGATTGTTTACTGACTTAATCAGTACCTGAATGGTTACTAGACTTAGTCATCGAATATCAATGTTAACGCACAACTGTTCAAACAACTTACAAGGGAACGTTAACAATTGAAATGTCATAGAAATAATTACGTCTGCAAATCGAAGCTGGCACATTGCGACAAATCTTGCTATGCCCTCCACTTGAACTATTGACCCTTGAACTCTACGCAATAGAACCATTTAATTTTTTTCCATTTCTATAAGGTAATAATAAATACCCACCCTTAACCGTTTTGTTATTGAGTTGAGATGAAAATAAGGACAACAGGTAGGGTCGGGAAAGAAATTTTTGTTGTTACTGTCGGGATGCCATTTTGCCTTTCACACTACCAACTTGAAATGGCTCATATTTTTGGTATGATGGCTAAATAAAGGGGAAAATAAGCATTTTTTCCACAGCAAATTGTGAAATAATACAATTATCTCCGTTGTTACAATGTAGTACAGTCGTGTAGTGTAGTAATGTAGTAATATCGGAACTGACGCATGAAACAAGCACGTCTGCCCTCCAGTGCTGCTAGACAATCAACATACCAAGGACTTCACTTGTCGCCGTTGGCATGGCAATGGGCCTCTCGAGAAAGTCAGCCTCAGTCTCAGCCAAATCTTGTAAGAAATTTTACTCCAATGAAGACTCCATAGAAGATTGAAGCAAAGCAAGTGACGCCGCGTGGGCGTTTTGATTGAAGTGTACAAATTTACAAAATGAAGGCCCTGAAACACAATAGGGCCCCTTTTGCAGAAAAATTAAGCCTTCCTATTGGTATCTCAAAATTGAATTTTAGCCTACTGTCAATCTTTACGAATTAATCATGTAATTAACAGAAACAATTAACAAAACTTTAGATTGTTATTGCCTCGTATCTTGGAGACAGAGACGACTTTAACATGTCTATTTTCTCCATATAAAAAAACACAGAAGCTAGTATGGATTTAAGAGAATAGCCAATTTTAAAGCAATTTCATACATGTGATACTTTTCTATACCTCATTATTCTATATTCTATCTACATATAAGCGTTCACTATTAGGTTATTTTCATATCACTAGTGTTATGGGTTCATGGAGGACAGACGGAAGCGATGTGAAAAAAACAACTTTTTTATGTAGCGTGAAATTGCAATTATCCGGTTTTAAATCGCGCGAAGCTCATGTTAATGCGGACCTTTGTGATCACCCATTACTCATCCCTTCTGTATCAAAGACCCGAATTTGCACTGGTTGTTGTACTTTGTTCGTGTATAATACGGGAAACAGAACGTCCATAATACGTTAAGTAAGAATGCGGGTGCTTGAATTTCCGCCTATTTTGCAGCATCACGATGAATCATACTGCAGTACATGTACAGTTTCTTTGCTGGAGTCCTCTTACTTAAAGATGATAGTTTTCTATATTTTTGGTATTCTAAAATCTGAAAAAGTTATAGACTTACGTACGAAGGAGAAACTTGTTTTTTTCCCTAACGCATCTCCACCAGACATCTCTGCTTACTCACAAATACCTTAGTATTAGTTTGGCCAGATTGACTGAGAAATTTGTAAGAGATGCTATAGCTAGTCGCCATAGAGTTACAAATTTGCAAGCATGGAGTCTATGTCAGTAAATAGTCGGTTTACTTGCAAGTGTAAGCCATTTATAATATGTAGAAAACAACATGCCTTTAGGCTGACGAAATAGTTGAAAAGAGTACTAGAATAATGCCTCTGTTAATATACTGCACGTTCTTTCAACCTTGAATAGTTTTTTAGTTGGTTCAGCCGTCTCAAGTACATTTTATTGTTTTGTTGCAGAATGATGTAATGGTCACGTGGTGACGCCGGCTACACAAGGGCTTATTCAAACGTCTGTACAGGTCTGTACGTCACTAGTTATAAATGGAACTCGTTATACATGGAACTCTCACCTACTTTTAAAACTAGTATGTTTTTTCCCCCATGACACATACGGTCACTCAATGACATACTGGCATTCAATGCAATTTCTGGGTAGCAACACTGGATTTTCAATTTTAATGTTAATTTTGGTTTATCTTTTACAGTAGTAAGTTGAATCAACGATATGAAATATTACATGCCCTGCCCTGAAATATTACATGGACGATCGATCCCTGAGTGTAGCTCTCCCCTCAGCTAAGTTGGTCGACCATGACTGGACAAGTTCAACGGTACAATCACATCGAGCGACACAGCTTAGTCAGTTACAGTGCTACCTCAGCCACAGGATTTGGGGGGCAAAGTTGTCGATGCATTCTGCCGTTATCTATCTGTGCAGACGCGACACAAATGTAGCTCCTTTCTAATAACAGTTACACGTACCTGAGTCTGCATAGTAAACAATTCTAGTCCACGTGGCTTGAAGTTTCTAACGTTGAACTTTGGCTCCATGACAACGTATGGTGTCCTCGATTAACCGTTACCGAACCCGAACATCAGGCAACTAGTATATGTTTGAGTAGTCAGGTGTTTGTTCGTCATGCCAAAAATATTTTTAATTTTTTCCATTTTTGACGTGTTTTCCTAGTTAATTGCCAATTAACCTTTCGGCAGTGAACTTCAAATCTAATTTATGTATGCTGTACTTTGACACCGTATCGTATACCGCACGGCAAACTATGTAGCACAGCCCGGACAATATCCACGGATTAACCATTTACACTGAGCTCTGTGTGAAGCTTAGCCGTACAGGCATGCAGGTATCAGGACTTTTAAAGGCTATGGAGTTCAATACGTCATTGTATGTAGTACATGAAGCGCGAACTACTTAGGCCTAAGGGAAAAATGGTTTGTTTCCGGTTATCCGACCGACCCTAGTCTCTTGTTTTTGGTCGGCAGCCGACGAAAAACATAAAATGTTCGATCTGACATAGTTGCACGTACCGGTACACTGGACCGAATTAGAACCGGACCTAATATTTCAGTTGAAGTCCAACTTAGTACCAATGTGAATAAAAGTGAATCCCTACCCACAGGACCCTATTTTTGTCAGGATGGTAATAGGAAACACAACATTAATTTTCCTAGGCCCTAGTTGCGTGTGGGGTTCTGAGAGTGGACCTCATGTTGTGCAGTACTTGTATAGGCCCCCTTCTGCGCAGAAAATTTCCAATTGCGTACAGAGAAAGAAGGGTAGTCTCTTTTGCTAAGTCAGTCGTCAAGGAAATCTCAAGCAACTGGATAGATTTTGAAAACGGTCGAGTAGCATCCACAACTTTTCGTCACTGACTACTTTAAAGTAATGGATGCTATTTGAGTTGTTTGACAGTTTTCAAAATCTATCCAGTTACTTGATCAACAATTTTGTTGTGTATCTATACCTGGATGTCTAACCTTCGTCAAACTAGTATCATATATAGTATACTAGTATATACTAACTCGTGGAAGTTCTTGTCTCAGAAGACGAAAACAACTTTTGGTCTATTGAGCAATGAGTAGGAGAATTGACAGTCTTTTAGCACTGAATTCAATGCCTTCACTTTATTTGTTTATACACTGGTCAAAAAGCTCCGCGCCGGCCCAATGTAAATAGATACTGAGCTATGCATGGCCTCTTTGGGGGTCACCTGGAGTATTTTTTTGCCACGCTTCAGGTTGTACGAGCTATGACGGAAGGGGGAGGGGTGCCTTTATCGGCAAGATTTTTTGCACTGTTGCACGTTATACCAGCGTAAACATCAAGAGGGGTAGGGTTATATAGAATTTTAAGCGACTTGATCTAAGCTAGCGCTTGGGGACTTTCTTGTTGTGGCGATTTTTGTATTTTCCATTCGTTTAGCCTACGGCCTATTTTTTACGTGTTTTTAATACTACATTTAAGAGTTTTGATCGGGCTTTGAATTTGTTTTTTTTTATAAAAGTAGAACTTTATTGCACGACAATTGCACATGGTACAATGTATGGCAAACTACATAAAGAGAGTAACAACAATAATATATATTAGTATCTTTTTATGGGGGTAACTGTCTGGCAAATATATACTGCCTGGCCAAATTCGGATACTGTCTCTGCAGCCACTGAAATATCTGCTTGGAGATCAGTACCCTTACACCTGGATTAAGTCAGCAAGATCTTTGTTATTCTGACTTCACAGTTAGTTGTTTTCCTTCTCAGCAGGTTCTGACGCTGTTCCAGCCAACAGTGCCAAACAAAGACGTGAATTTTTCCTGTTCTTTGCCGTCGTCCACCTGAGTAACCCACGCGGATGTATATAGCTGCACTACTTGCGCTCCTGGCGGTGATTCGGCCCGTCCTGCCGGAAACAAGTAAGACATTTACATTGTTTGATTGATTTTGTATATTTTATTGGCAGTTTGATATCTGCAACCTAGTTTAAACGAAAAAGACTGGGTTAATCTTTGAATGCTTCAGTACTGTCACTGGCCCGAAGAACATAGCTCTAGTGAACTGACCCATCCACACTAAAACAAACAGTCCTCGCATACGCCAGGCCGACACGCTGCGCCGCTTCATGTGCTGGGGAGGGTCACTGGCATTGTTAAAATTTACGAAAAAAAATTAATTAAAAATCAACATGTGAAGATAGTGAAAAATCCTCGCGTTTACGTTTTTTTGCTATTACTATAGTGTGCCTCTCGACAAAATATGATCAATAAAAACCAAAGCACTGGCCAGGAAAATTGATTTTTCTAAAAAGTGGACGTGGCTCATAACACAAGAAGACGTCATGGTGACGTCATAAAAATTTGCATAAATTATTATCTTGCGCTAAGGTATCTGTGTAAAAAATTTCAATGACCATACGTAATTCTAACTAGTATCTTTAATATGTCCTCAAAGTCCTCAGGCACCATAATACACCACCTTAAACCCTTTTAAAAGACCAGGATATTTTATTCAGAATAATCCAAATGGAGAGAGAAATTATTTGATGTAAACACACGAATGGAAATACGTAGAGAGGTTCATATCAAAGACACAATCTTGCAGGTAGTACCTACTGTGTCATTTCTATTTATGCTGGGTCACGTAAAACCACAACAATCTGAGAACCTTACCGGGTCAGATACTGTTGGTGGTTAGAGACGCCACATTCTTTGAAGTCCTGTTGCCTTTGTTCCTACACGTACCGCACACGAAACGTTTAGGGTCATAATATAGTCTGAAACTGGTGGGTGTACCAACTACTAACTACCTAATGCCAGCTCAGAAAAGTACAAGAAACAGTCATGCCTTCAAGTGCCAGAGTTATCAACCAAGAATTGAGGTGTTAAAAAACTCCAAGAACTATCGTAGAGTGAAACTCGCTGCCATTAATATAAGTACAATAAGGGCATCATCACAAGCCAGCTTGTTTAGAGTTAAATGTGTAAAGATCATAGGTGTAACCAGGGACATTATATAATGTCCTTGGTGTAACAAGTCGTTCGGTGCAATATAGCCAGCTACCGCCGCGCCGCGTGCCTGCGAAACTAGTGTGTTACGCCGAAGGGCAGTTTTACAGGCTATACAGATACAGAAGTTCCCTGTTTGCTCATTTATTGTCGGCTCTCAAAAATTCTCTTTGCCTGTTGTTCAGTTTGTGATAGCCCCTTGCTGATCGCGACGTCATCACCGGGAGTGCTGACGTCAGATGGTTACCCCGGTCTGTACCCGGCAGGTACCGACTGCACCTGCGAACTCAGAGGGACACTCGGGAACGTGGTAGAAATCAGCTTCAATGACTTCCTGGTAGGAATTTCTTTTTACATTTATTTATTTCAACTTTATTTACATATATATTACTAGTACATGTAAAACGGTCATGGGAAACAGGATTGCCCTTTCAAATCCCTGACCAAAATTAGGTGACAGTCCGTTTCAAAGTAAGCATATCAACAATTATAAAATAATTATTGTAACAAAAAATGCTAATAACAATAATCGTAACAAATAGTAACAATGAGATGATGAAATAATGCAAAATAATGAAGTAATGTCTGATAACAATAATTGAAACAAAAATTGAGACAATGATTGAAGAAATAATTGAGACAATAATTGAGACAATAATTGCAACAATAATTGCAACAATAATTGCAACAATAATTGCAACAATAATTGAAACAACAATTGAAACAATTGCGACAATGACTGAAACAATAAATGAAACAATAATTGAAACAATACCAATAGTAAGTACAAATAATAATAATAATAATATAACAATTTGAAAAATGTATGAAGAATAAATGAAACCTTTTATGTCTGTACCAAAGAGTTTTCCTCCTTGGTACAAAGTAAAGCCTGTATTGTATTCAGCCTATGCACTTCTAAGCCCATGTGCATTGTATTGTTATCTTTTTAATTATACAAATGTTAATATGCTTTTAATATATCTGTAAATATTCAACGCAATTGAGTGTCTGAAGAGATTCAGCACGTCTGTAAAGTTGATTTTAAATAAAGATTTTGAATTCGATTTTTTTGCGGTGAATGATAGGTCTGATAGGGCTTGATGTGAGTTTTCTTTTGCAAAAAAATAATAATAATGCATTTGCGTTGAGTAGTTGAAATAGCCTTTCTCTCTCCACAAACAATAGTATAATAACAATAATATTTTGTACAGGTCGACCCGTCCCCAGGGTCGTTATCTGGTGCCCCGGGAACGTGCTCACGCCACTATCTGGAGGTGTACAATGGACTCGAGACCAATGGGAACCTTTTAGGTAAGATTCAAACTCTTAATTTTCCAACGTCTAACGGTCTTTTACTTTCAGGGTAGGTTGTTTGGAAATAACAGTTCTGGAATAGCATTCTGAAAAAGTATCTCAAAATATTTATCTTCAAGTATTTATTTAACGCGTACATTGGTTTTATGGCACAAGCTTGTTATATGCGTATAATTGAATTTCTATGGGGGAATATTAATTTTTTTTAGAATATCAAGGAAATTCCATTAAAAATCGCCTTTTTTTCCAGGTTCGTTCTGTGGAGACGAGACTCCGCCCATCTTGTTGTCTAGTGACGTCACCCTGACCCTGAAGTTTGTGACCAATCCCTGGTCCGCTAACAACCGGTACAGGGGCTTCTCTCTTAACTACACCGCCATTGCCGGATCACAGGGCCCGGGTAAGCCTTAACTTCCCCTTCTACAGGAACTGTCCCTGAATAGCAAAGTTCTTTGATCACATCCATTTACTTTTTACTAGCCGACGTTTCGATGACCGTCTGTCATCTTCATCAGGGCAATTCTGACTGGTTTGCTGTGCACTGACGCTAGATGCACTATGCAGCAAGTAACATCTAGCGTCAGTGCTCAGTAAACCAGTCAGAATTGCCCTGAAGAAGATGACAGACGGTCATCGAAACGTCGGCTCGTGAAAAATGAATGGTCGTGATCAAAGAACTTTGCTATTCATTCGTTTACCAACCTGATGAAATTATTTACGGAAGCACCTGTCCCCGTTTTCTTGTTTACAAGTTTATTTGTTTGATTATACTTTGTTTTTGACGCTTTCTGTCTACTTTAGACCTTGACTCGGGCTGTTGGAGCATGCGCAGACTAACTGCCCCAAGTGGGACCATCGTCAGCCCAGGCTTTCCTGTGGAGTACCCAGCAAGCTTAGCGTGAGTCAAGAAAAATTGTTTGACTGTTTGTGAATTTATAATACCTGCAGCTAAATATCTGTTATTGTATAAGGTGTGAAGTTTGGGTTATGATAACTCAATATAAGTAGTTATTTGTAAAAGAAAAGCCATTTTGTTTCTAAATAATTAAATTAGATGATAGCTTCAATAATAACGATTTTTTGGTTATCTGGAATTTCAATCACGTTGCCGTTTTTCCATAGATGTACGTGGGAAATAGTGACGCATCCGGACAGCAAAATCACCCTGCAGTTCTTGACCTTCCTGGTAGGAGGCATCTCTGCAACATGCGACAACAACGTTAACGACTACGTTATTGTGTACAGAGGAACAGGGGAAAGCAAAGAATCAGAAGGTAGATCATTTGTCTGATTTCTTTGCTTTTCAATGCTATAGGATATTAAACAAACTAGAGTGGTGTTTTATATACTAAGTAGTTGTATGTGCCAGCTGTGTGGATTGTGGAACCAAAACACAACAGCTATCGCCATAATAACGTGTCTTGTAACTCGCCAGTCGCGACCCAAATAATTTGGTCCATATGGTTCATGGGTTCTGTGTATACTACTACTAGTAACCTCTAACACTTGCAGACCTACATGTTATCATATCAAGAAGCTCCTTGATGATATCAAATCGATGCAGTTTTTTGCTGTTTCGTATTAAACTACAGACGAACTGTTAACGGTTGTGAAGCGTTTCCAAGCGTTTCGGAACGGTAGACCGTTCCCTGTCTAAAGTGGGTCTAAGCTTTTATTTCAGTTTTTCCCCCAGTGATTGTTACTTTAAGCCAGTATTGACCTGTAGCTTTGCCTTCCCCAGGGACATACTGTGGATGGGAGTTGCCACAATTTACGGACCTGCTGAATGAAGTCACCATTGAGTTCGTATCCAACAATGTCGGTGGATTCCGCGGGTTTTTCGTGGTGTACACCGCTGTAGGTGAGTGTGGTCCTTGGTGTGATACACGATAGACGGTAAATAAACTTTGCATCGAGAGCTTTTTGGCGACGCTATAGGAGCGGAGGCATTTTTGTAAGTACTACGATCGCTTTGAAAATGTGCACGAATGCATTCCCTTGGGAATTGTGTTTGAGGTAACCTTCGGCCATGCGGTCTTTGGACCGAGAAGGAAACCTTAGCTAAAGTTGAATGAACACTTTTTTTAAGAATGAAAGGGTAAAATTATAGTATATCGACTATATTATTCTATACTAATGTTGGTCTGAAAAATGTTACAAAGTGATTTTTTTATTAACGTCGAAAAAGAGTGTGCGTGTGAAAAATATACTGACGATGGGAGAATGGATAGAGGGGCAGTACTATATGAATCACAACAATACATGTTTTTATGGTAACTAGCAAGATTTTAGTTTGATTACTAAAAAAAGTAGAAATGATTTCTGTGTCCAATAAATTTGTTATGCTGATCACACAGGTCCGACAACCACACCCGCACCTCCACCAACCATCACCACAACGGTGCCTCCCCCCGTGAACACAATGAACACTCCCCAGCCCCCCGTCACCCCCGGGGCCTCCTATGTCCCCACGGTAGGGGACCACGCCGCCCGACTGGGGGACAACATCTACATCATGATCCTCTTCTTACTTGTTGCAATACTGACTCCAATCGCTAGATGATACCTGACACCAGTTCACACACGAGAGAAATACCTACCAGTAATGCTGCAATGATGTAAAATATCAAATTATACAGAAAAATGAAAATATGAGAAAGATTTAGTTTTATAGCAGTATAATGTGATATAGTCTTATCGTTCTTTTTTTGTCATACATGTAATTGTGCATATGATACTGCCAATATTACGTGGTAAGCTTAAGTGAGGCCATGTTGATTTGATTATATGGATGACATCCGCGCGCGCATGAATTTTCGGCCGTTTCCACAAAAAATGTTTTCAACCATACTGTAAATCGTACAAAAGTTGCAAAATGAGCAAATATATATCGTAAGTTGAAAAAATATTTGAAAATGATACCAATGTCGTAGAATGCCAAAATCAAACGAAAAAGACGAGAACATGTAAAGAAATGATTTATGAGCATTTTATTCTCACGCTCGCATCAGTTTTGGGGTTCCCAGAGGATGCCGTCCATATAATCAAATCAACATGGCGTTAGTGGTAAAGTCGCGAGCACTCATGACCAAAGGTGTGTTTAGAAATGTTGTTAGCACTTTCCATGTGAGAATTAGAGAGTCGCATTTGTTCGTATATAGTCATATCATTCTCTTTGGACGACTATAGTAATCACTCTATCATTCTTCAGATTATCTATATTGAACTGTATCTTATATGTTTGTATTTCATCTTAATTAATTGGAATAAATGAAGTGTGTTCTTCTCATAATTTCTTTCATTCAAATCTATTTGCCAAACACGTAAAATATAGATTTTTAAAAGCGTACTTTTAAGGTACAACTCGATTTAACATTCGAGTAATTCTTGCATCGCATATCCTTCACATACCACATTTTTACTAAATGGTGCATGTCAACATGAACCAAAGATCACACGATTTTTACATGTCAGGTTTTGCTCTTTGGAATGCTGCACTATCAAACATTGGGACGATACAAAAAGTCAATTTTCTGGCGGTCATTTCTTTACAAAGTACTAGTAAGTTGAACTTGCAAATAACAGTCATTCAAGAAGTGGAAGTGCCAAAATTCGCCGCCTTAAAGAGTGTGTTTAAAAGCTGGAAACACAGCTGTAATTGCCATGTTTGTTTACATTCTGGTAGTTTGTGGTGGTGCCACAAACTGAGTGTGCCTCATTGGAGTATTTTAGCGCCAACTATAAATGTCAGAAATGTGACAAAATTGCACAAGTATGTCGAAAAGTGAAAAGATATCATAATATCACAAAGATTTTTAATTAAAAAATTAATTTCGAATTCGGTGCAAAAATGTTACAAAATGCCCCTTTAACAGACGTTGTAAGCTACTGAAAGAGTTGGAACAGGCTGTTCAGCAGCCCATCCAGTATTTAGCCACACTGCGTGGGTACGGCGGGTTAGCCGCGTTGGTCACAGCGGCTCCGTTGGAGTCCAGCCTCCAGTACTGGTCGCCCTTGAAGATGTAGTTCAAGCCGTTCGTCCACTGGATAGCCGCGTCCAGGCGATCCGGGAAGCCTCTCCACAGGCTGAGAGCCTTCGGGTAGCCTCGGTCCAGCCTCCTGGGGCCCTGCGTGTACCTCCAGTACTGGTCACCTGTAGGGGTGGGGGTTTGTTCAGTACACAATCACTGTCTTGCTTATACATGTGCTTACAGTCAAAAACCGTGCAGAATTCCCCATGGGAGCGCACCTAATTTTCATTCACCCTCAAGTCTAGCAACCGTCTCTGCCGGGAATAATTCGGAAGGAAAATAACTGTATATTGAAAAGATATATAACTGAAAAGATATCCCTTCAGCTACAAGAACAACTGAGTATTGTTTCTTCAACCTCTTTAATTTTGGTAAAAGTAACAGTAATAGTTTTTTCACGTTAAAATCAATGCACAAAATTGGGAATTTTCGCCTTGAATAATCCCTTAAAATGTTCTCGAAGGCAAAATCAATTTTCACCCCAAAATTACAATTTCCTACTTTTTTAGCCATATTAGAATCTAATGATACTTAACGGCAGATTATGAGAAAATGTGACCTCAAACTTGGACCCTCTAAACCCTTTCGTCATCCATTTTTTACCGCGCACTACCACGGAAGAACTGGACATGGGCTGTGCACCCTAAAACGCATCATCACTTACCCTTGAAGAAGTAGGCCCTGCTCCTATCCTGCCACTCTCCGAAGTACAGTGCGGAGTCAATGTTGGGCACGGTACGCCAGAGTCTGATGGAGCGGGGATAGCCACTGTCAGGAACGGCGCCGTCATACCGCCAGAACTGGTCACCCTGCAGCGTGGACATGGCAAGTCAGCATTTCTATACCATTAGGTATCCCATTAACAAAAAGCAGATTATGGTTTCCTCCATAAGGTATAAGCCTTAAAGCTTTTGTTACCTACATGAAAAATGGAAGTATTGTTTGTGAATGTGTGTGTCCGTGTGTATGTCTGTGTTCCCGCATGACCCTTCGGTTGCAATGTACATGTATATGGTTAGGTCTGTCTTAGAAGGAGAAGTCTAGATCTGGTAGCGCTCATTGTTGTCACAGGTGTTCTAGTTACATGACCTCCTTAACAGCTGACAGCTAATGTTTCCCTTGCACGATAACGAAAGACTTTTAAAAACAACGGTCAACAACACAGTCATCATCACACATCACACATCAATGTATACATGGGGGTATATATAAACAGGAAGGCACAACCGCACACCTCTGGAACAAAGGATTTGCCAATATTGTAGCTCAAACAAAGTAGAAGATGAAGCCCACTTTGTTATTGATTGTAGTTTATATAGTAATGAAAGAAATGACCTTTTTAGATATATTACTAGTACGTTTCCATACTTCCAATACTTGCCTAATGTTGAAAAATTTATCTTTCTTATGCGCTTTGATCATCCTGTACTATACAAACCCATCTCAAATTATATTTTTAATATTACAAAGAAACGAGAAGAAGCCGAACCATTGTATTAGAGTAGTTTTAAAGCTGTTTGTAATACAAACATGTATATTACCTATTTCATCTGTTCACCTGTACTTAGCCCGATAGGGCATGAATGTACAATAAAGGTTATTATTATTATTATTATTATAAGTTTTACCTTGAAGAAGTAGGTCCTCTCGTTAGGCTGCCAGTACACGGCGGCGTCTATCCCGTCCGCCGGCAGTCCGTCCCACACATCAGCGATCAGCTGTGGATACCCGGGGTCCGCGCCGGCACTGTTCAGTCTCCAGAAGTACCGACCTGTTAGATATACATTTTGTAATATGGAGAGTCAGAGAAAAATTGCAATCACGAATTTTGTTCTCTGAAGGCGTCAAACTGTGTTAAATATAAATTTATTTCAATCAGGTTTAGCTTATTGAAAATCAATCTGCCACAGGAAAGAAACTGTTTTGTATGGTACATTGTGTATTGTTTTCGGCTTAGTTTTAGCAATTACATCAGTGCAATGACTGGTACACTAGTAGACCATCATAGTCCTGCGAACCATTTCCATTGATATGCAAGTTTCTTGAGCAAAATTTAAGCCGGGAGTTGATTACTCTCTAGTCCTGAATAGTCCGTTATTTGTTACATCAAATAGTGGAAAGATGGATATGTTGACATTAGACATTACCTCTGAATGCGTACACCGATCCGTTGGCCAGACGGGCGAAGGCATCAAACGCCTCCCCGCTACACGTCATCGCGTCCCGGTCACCGCCGGGCGGAGGGGGCGGCCGCAGGGTCGGCTCGGGGGGTGGGGGTGGTGGGCGGTTGGTCGGCGTCGGGGGGTGGGGGTGGTGGGCGGTTGGTCGGTTCAGGGGGAGGGGGTGGCCGGTTTGTAGGGCGCGGCGGGGTACCTGTAGACAATATAAATGGAAAAGTTTATTGCAAATTCATGCCCGAGTACTAATTGCAAGAACATGATAATAACAGTAAACAGTAGAATGATAATAAGTGATGCTAATGCTACTTTATATATACATTTGTAGTTATTGTTGGGTTTGATTTCTTTTCCGTGTGCAGTGGAGTATGAAATGGCCGACATTTTGCGATATATATGAATTGGGAGGTGTTAATAGAAATGCAGTTTTTTGTAGGCTTGGAAGGTGAATAAAGCTGGGGAACATTTTGGTGACCATTTCAAAGGGCAGTATATAACGGATAAGTACACCGCTAGTCACTACAGTTTTTTTTCTTTTTGTAATCAAACAACAAAGCCAAGCAGATCTTTTGGAAACTGCCAGACAGTATCAAATTGTCAATGCAGTATCCGTTTTCTAGACAGTTACCATTTGGGCTGGCGTTAAAAAGATACCAGTACAAGTCTGATAAAAACCCATTAACAAGCCAAACATAAGCTGAAGGCTGAAGCTGTGCTCGGAGAGTAGTGTAAAAGTGTTTAACCGACCGTAGAGCCTCTGGATGCCCCTGATGTCGTCGGCGTCCAGGCGGAAGTCGGACTGGTACCGGTAGAACGGCGCCATCAGGGCGGTGTTCACCTGGGAGTGCCCCAGCCCCAGGGCATGCCCGAACTCGTGAGCCGCCACCTGGTGCAGGTCAATGCCTCTGGGACGGCCTGGGAAGGAAGGAGGGGTGGAGAAAATCAGAATTAAACAAGAATTCGGAGATTAGACATCCATCAGATATCCATCAGAGAGAGAGAGAGAGAGAGAGAGAGAGAGAGAGAAAGAGAGAGAGAGAGATAACAACAAAGATGTTGCCTTACTGTTTCCCCTGTTGATGGTCCATGTCTCTGATTCGTCGAAGTGGGAGTCGCCGCCGATCCCGTTGCCCGGGCCGTACGCGTGCGCCAGGGTGCTCCCGGGCCCGTCAAAAGAATTGCCGTCCCCGTGGCTGCCCGACGCGAAGCTGATCTCAATGTCGGACCGGGTGCTGCCCGTCAGTCTCCGGAACCGCAGCGGGGTGTACTCAGACCACGTCTGCGGTGGGGCAGAAGAGATCAAACTATATCACACAAGATATAAAAAAACTGATCGTGTGATCGTGTAGCGTAATGGTTTGGCCCATAACCTATAGGTCCTGGGTTCGAATCCACCAACATGCCTCGATGTTGTGCGATTGGAATAGGCACTTTACACGACTTTCCTCGCTTCACTCAGGAAAATGAGTACCTATAGCTAGTTCTGGTTAAAAACGTCCATCGGACAGGACGACACTTCAAAGAAGCCACGTGACAAGTCTCACTGGGTTAGTCTATTGAAGAAGACCAAAGTGACTGGTCGGAAGATCTAGGTGAACAAATGTGAACTGTGAACTGTGTTGGAACAAATGCTTTACCTATAGACCATGCAAGATAGCTTTGCTTACTTCTAGAGCTCTCTTCATCTCCCTCTCTACATCCGCCCGTGGCAGGTCCGGGGTAAAGTTGAGAATGCGGTAGGTCAGGTCGTTCTTTCTCCACCGGCTGCCGAGGGTCGTGTAGGAGGCCAGCTTCTTCCCCGTGTCCGCAAATCCACACCTGGGCATCCGCATCGTCTCCCTCGTCTTTTCGTCAAGTTCGCCTGGAGATGAGAGGAAGAAATGATAGAGATATGGGGTCGTGTGGCGTAGTGCGTAGCGGCAAAGTGCTCGACTCGGAACCAAGAGGTCCCGGGTTCGAGTTCTGACTTTTGTCTCCCCCCCCCCAAAAGTCAGTGTAGGGAAGACAAAAGTCAGTGTGTTGAGCAGATTTGTCCCTGTTTGTACAGAACAATCTAGTCTTCTCACCTGTTTCTTCGATACCGGCGAACTTTTGGAAGTTAGTGATGGCTCTGCGCATGACCGGAGACATAGTCCTTGTGTCCGTGATCATGTCAAACCGCTCATCCGGCTCGAACCAGCCGAAATCCCGCAGGTACATCTGGACGGAGAAACGAGGGAAGGGATGATTCAACAACAACTTACGCTGTTGAGCTTCGACATACGTCAGAGGTCAGGTGTCTAGGGCTAGGGCTAGGGCTAGGGCTAGGGCTAGGGCTAGGGCTAGGGCTAGGGCTAGGGCTAGGGCTAGGGCTAGGGCTAGGGCTAGGGCTAGGGCTAGGGCTAGGGCTAGGGCTAGGGCTAGGGCTAGGGCTAGGACTGGGGTTAGGGTTGGTATTAGAGCGCACACACACACCACACACACACACACCACACACACACACATACACGCACACACACACACATACATACGCACACACACACACACACACACACACACACACACACACACACACACACACACAGCACAATATTGTCTAAAACGTCGTAAACACCTGCTGATAGGTAACTAATGTTGACCAAAGTTCAAACAGAAGATTATCACAGGTGCCGGGCGTAAACAAACACTTGTGACTTGTCGTGGCTCCTGAGACTGTGTTAGTGTGAGACAAACACTGATAATGCGGGCAAAGCTGATAAGACCACGCTGTGATTGATAGCTCATTGTTCAGCCTGTACATAAACAAAAATACGATTTATACGAGATTATATATTGTCCCACAGTCCACTTCAGGGCATGCAATGCAATGTCAGGGCGACTAACCAAGGACATTCTATCTTGGATGAGAAAATCTGTCTGATATTGATATTTACTGTTATTTCTTAGCACATTTTCGTCATTATTTCATATAGTTGAAGCGCTTAAAAAGGGCCCCAAAAACAATCTACGTGAGGCGTCTCTTTTTTTAGGGGTACCGCTCATAAATCGCTAGAACCAGCCTACGATACAAAACAAGCAACCGTTTTCCATCAGTGACATCTCATTTTTGCCTTACACATATCAGTATGCTATGGGATAGGATTGATTCAACTTACTACAAAAAAGAATGACCAGAAGATTGACTTTGAAAATTTCAGGTTTGCTGCCCTGAAATTGCATTGGATGACTTTAGATTAAGCCATTGTGGTTTGTTTCATTGTACTATTTCCCACCCCTATGAAACGTACTGAAAGCTCGCCTTACCATGCCATCTGTAAGGTTGGAGACGAGGAAGCGGTTGTCGGCAAGGCTCTCAAACTGGGCGGCGCTCCGGGTCAGCTGCAGTGGGGAGGACCGCTCTTCCTCATCCTCATCCGTCCCATCCCCGTCCACATCCGTCCCATCCCCGTCTACAGGTGTCTCGGGGCTGGCGGTTTCATTCTGCTCTGAAGACTCGTCGTTCGTTTCGTTGAACGGCGGACGGCGCCCGGCTTCTTCGCTCGAACTTTCGTCGGACACTGAGACGTTTTCTTCAGACTCTTCACTCACTTCACTTGACTCTGTGGATTCGTCGCTTGTTTCCTCCGACTCTAAGTCCTCTTCACTCGACTCTAAGGATTCGTCGCTAGTTTCTTCACTGGATTCTACGGACTCGTCGCTAGTTTCTTCACTCGAATCTACGGATTCCTCGCTAGTTTCTTCACTGGATTCTACGGATTCGTCGCTAAGTTCGTCGGACGACTCTGAGTTCACTTCGCTTGTCTCGTCCGACTCTTCCGACGAATCTTCCTCATTTGTTGCGTTCGACTCGTTGGAGTTTTCCTCGCTGGATTGTTCTTCACCCCATTCGTGGAACTCTTCGCCTATTGCGCCCCCGTCCCAACTTGGGTCGTCTTCGACGTCACCCCATTCCTCCTCCCAAGACTCAGACCAGTCGTCTTCGCTCCACTCGAGTTCTTCACTCTCAGAGCTGGCGTCGTCTTCTTCCTCACACAGCTCGTCTTCTTCTTCTTCGGAGCTGACACTCGCACCGTCTTCGCCCTCGGGGAGGTCCTCAGGATTCCCCACGAAAATCTTGCGACCGAAAACCGCTCGTTCTAGACTTCCCTGTCTGCTACAGCGCCTGGTGGGCCTGGCGTGGCCTGGCACGGACAAAACACACAGGCACACCGCCAGGAGGACTACCGCAAACCCCCGCATGGCTCAAAAAGCTGTTCCAACTCGTACCAACTCACGCCGTTCTGCCAAAACTACCAACTATGACAACCACAAGAGTTCTGCCCGCAAATTTATACCACAACTCCAACCCCCACCGGCTGGATTATGTCGTGACGTGTTCGACTTCCTGTTGTTTGCTCAGAGATGTTGGACCCTAACCAATGCGCAGCTAAAGTTGGCTGTCCAAACAACTTGCTGACTCAAGGTGAGATAAGCTCACATCTATTTGATTTGTTGATTATCGGTCGGATATTTTTTTCAGAAAACAGGCGAAGGCACCACGTGATAGCCCGAAATATTACGATATAAGCCATAAAGTCAGCATTCTTAGGCTGGGTTATATAATTCGTGCAATGAATTTTGAATCAAACCACTGCATTAATAACTACGAAGACAAGGACCTTTCTTCAGCCGTTGGGGCCAAAAACTTTGAATAAGGCACCCAGGACAAACCTGTAACCACATGGCCAATCAAGTTTTCTTACTTTCCTCCCCCTATAAAATGAATGGGATGTTCCAAACTTTTAAAGCTCTACGTAAGTGTGTGGTAAATATTAGACGAGTGAAATGCTGTAACCGGTGTTCGATTTCCTCTGTATACGTTAACATGGAACTGCTTTGTCACCATGACCTGTACTTAGATTGTAAAAGCATTAATGTACAATAAAGATTTTTCATTTCATCTGGACCGCTCACGAGTTACAGCATGACTTTTAATCTCCAAGCAGATCCTACGGTGGCAGGACCAAGTAGCTACATGTATAGTGCACGCACGTGTCCATAGGCCTAGTTACTTGGCAAATTGAATAATGACTCACCATCAAATACTGTTGCTGTGAGTGTTAAACTAGCATGTAGGATCTATGCCGACACCGAAGAAAATCAAAACAGATTTGAAAAAAAAAGTGCTTTAAACTCAGGTAAACAGGACATCGTAAACATGAAACCGGGTCATCTTATGACGTCATACCACAGCGTGACCAGATAAGACTTCCTTCTTGGAAGAAGACAACAAGATTTAGTATAGTAGCCTCTATCAGGCTTCGGGAAGCGGCTGGAGAGAGTAGAAATTGGCAAATAGAACAACAGAACCAAGAGGTTATAGTAGCCTCTACCAGGCATCGGAAGCGGCAGGAAAGGGTAGAATTGGCAAGTAGAACAACAGAACCAAGGAGGTTATACTATAGTAGCAGCCTCTATCAGGCATCGGCAGCCCCTGGAAAGTGTAGACATTGGCAAATAGAACAACAGAACCAAGGAGGTTATAGTAGCCTCTACCAGGCTTCGGGAAGCGGCCGGAAAAAGTAGAAATTGCCCATTTAGACAGATAATGCCAGGGGAGTTGGTCCGCTAAGGCAAAAGTACTCCCTCTGGTTCAACTCCCCTGGCATATCTGTGGAGTGGAGCCTGGTAAGGCTATGGTTACAGGCCTATAATCTACATCTGCTTGTAACCTCCTTGACAGAACAAACAATGTGTTGAGGATGATGCGTGTGTGTTGTGAGAGTGCTTCTGAACCTGAATAAAGGCGTGAAAGAAAGAAAGAAAGAAAGAAAGAAAGAAAGAAAGAAAGAAAGAAAGAAAGAAAGAAAGAAAGAAAGAAAGAAAGAAAGAAAGAAAATGTGTTTCGCGCGGGGGGGGGGGGCGGTCACAACTGTGGCCAAAGTCAAATTCGGGTTCCACGTTTCATTGTCACAAGTCACACGCGAGTAACACAGGGTCGAACGGAAGCCGGACGTCCCCCAGTGTTTGTTGTCACACAGCTGCACGTTACAGTGCTGTTCTCTCCGACTTTTCCATCTGGAGATTCAAATACTTGACTACTGACGTCGTTGCACTTGTCAACCAAAGTATTGTTTTTATTTCTTAAATGTACATTAAATTAAATTTTTCTACTGTTTAACTTGATTGCCCGTCGATATGATACATTTTGGAAAACCAGACCTAGGGGATCATAGGACGAGGGTAGATGATTGTTGATAAGGAAAAAATTTGTTTTCTGACTAGCATGCAATTGCATTCATGCATTGTACGTACGTGCATGTTGAAAATCGAATGACAAATCATGACATGGTGCGTCGGTGGCGAGTTGAAAATGATTCTGAAGTTACACATGTTTTGGTTCAGTTCTACCTCTAACCCCCTTGCTCTATCCTTGGACATGTAAAAAAATTCATGATGCAAGAAAGAGGAAAAATGAGTAGCAAAGTGCCATTAGAGTGGTGTGTATGAAGACATTTGCTTTGTCACACTCAGTGTTTGCTGTTAACATCTGAAGTCTGATTCTGAGAAGTGCCTGAGATATCGTGACCGCGTGGGCGACGATCAACCGACACCACCTGGAGACCTTGATATTTATCTGGGAACCCCGGATACGAGGTTACGCTTGATGTCCTGTTTCTAAAGATGTAAATGTTGACATCATGGGTCAAACTTCCCATCTGCAAGTGCGCCATGAAACGCTATCTAGCGGTATTTAACCGTAACACAGCCAGTTGATTGTTGGGGTCATTTGATGCCATCTTGAGCGACCGTAGAAAAAACGGCTGATACGTACATGAATTTAGCAGTTCATTATGCGTCTTACTACATTGACGCCCTAAATTGAATTGATGAAAAGCCCAAAGAAATACAGGAACAACTTAAAGCGAGACGATGACAAGGTTAAAACGTTTTGGTCCCGATGGTCGGCAAAGCTGCAGCAACATCTGCGATCAATGACTTGGCGTTCCAAGGAGCCAGGAAATTCTACCAAGAAAACGGGATGTTGTTACCACCTAATTACCTTCACGAAACCTAGCGGATATGCTGCTTTTCTATTTTCTGTGGGGTTACAGATGGCGAATAAGAACATGTCGGTCCATTATTTAAGCAGCGTATTTATCAATGGATCCAAAGTTTCACTAACATTTCATAACGCATTCTTTATATTATAAGAAATGGTTTTTCTTTTACATGCTTCTATCTTTTAAATAAAAGCTGTTTACACCAAGTTCCTGCCAGAAAACTACAGGAAGCTTGGCAAAGGAAGCAACTTTATAGATCTGTGTAACAGTGACTCAGTTGTTTTTATCTTTCACAGGTTGGACTTGTAGACGGAACATGCTTTTAAGGTTAGACGTCTTTTCACCCATTACAAAATGATAATTTGAGTCAACATGAAATACAATACATTACAGTGTTTTGAATCAACTAGGAAGCCCATGCACAGGAATTCAAAGAACATCTCAACTCTTTGTATCCTGACATCAAATTCACATTGGAAAAGAATGAGAGCCCTCAAGTTAGTGTATGTACAAGGAGGTTTTATTAAATCATGACTTGACAATATACATTGACATTGTACTGTACAACGTGTGCAAACAAGACTGAATTTCACAGAAATTAGGGTTACAGCTTCTATGAAATGCTCATACAAATCAAAATCATGTATTTGGATATATATACACCAGGACTTTCCTGTGGATTCAGTACATATGAGATGCATTTTCCTACTGAAAAAAAAAGATACTTGTCAAGTATGTTAAAATATATTCTGTACATGTAGCTTCCAGTTTGACACTTCTCTACCAGCCAGTACCTTCAATGACAACATGTAAAATACCTTTAAACAATGTTGTATGTTGGGCATGTACTTCACAGTCAGATACTGGTCCACTGTTTTTTTTAACTGCCCAAAAAGATCTTCTAGTCAAGTACCTCAGTTCACCCCTAGTTATGATGTATTTCCCTGTTGAACTCCAGTCCACCCCTAGTTATGATGTAGGTCCCTGTTGAACCTCAGTCCATCCCTAGTTGTGATGTAGGTCCCTGTTGAACCTCAGTCTACCCTTTGTTATGAAGAGGGTCCCTAGGGCTTTGTTGAACCCCAGTCCACCCCTTGCATGCTATGATGTATTTCCCTGTTGAACTCCAGTCCACCCCTAGTTGTGATGTAGGTCCCTGTTGAACCTCAGTCCACCTCTAGTTACAATGTAGGTCCCTGTTGAACCCGAGTCCACCCCTAGTTATGATGTAGGTCCCTGTTGAACCCCAGTCCACTTCTAGTTATAATGTAGGTCCCTGTTGAACCTCAGTCCATCCCTAGTTACACATAGGTCCCTGTTGAACCTCAGTCAACCCGTAGTTATGGTGTAGGTCCCTGTTGAACCCCAGTCCACCCCTAGCTATGAAGTAGGTCCCTGTTGATCTGACTGCTGTGCCACCTGTTGTCCCAGTGATGCTGCTGCCTGCTGTAGTCTCATCCTCTTCCTGGTGTAATGTTGCCAGTGGAGAACCTGCTGGTCATCGATGAACTTTGTACACTGGGAGTTCACTAGCTCCTTCCTAAAGGCCTCGTACTGTAGCAGTTCCACCATGTGTAAACACTGTGGATATCTGAGGAGAAAATAGCAAAATATTTGTTTATTTGTTTGTGTAACAGGTAAACAGGGCTCTAGCCAGCTCAATGTTTTCCTGTTAGCCCAGATTCATGATCAGACCTGGGGGAGAAGAGTGCTCACAATATATAGGTCTGGGGACAAATTTTGGATTTCCAAGCCCTTAAAAATGCAATTTCCCACATTTTGAGAGGAAAATTATGGGATTGAGAGTGGTTGTTGGTGGTCCTTTGTTTCTTATATTCTTACCCAAGATTTTTGTCAATTTTGTCCATAAAGCTTAAAGGTTGATGAATTGGTTGAAAAGATTTTCCGTCACATGTCAGGAAAGTTCCTATGGACTACGCACACTATTACCTGAGGGTAATGTAAGTGTGGGAACACAGGACCTACACTTAATGTCACATCCAAATGGAGTTAAATGCTTTTCCCATAATAGGATTGCCTTTGGGACTCAGAACCTCAACATTTGAGACTCTATTTCCTTAATACTTACTTGAGGTACTTGGCATATTCAGGCTGCTTCCAGTACAGAAGGTACTTCAGATAGTTGATGAATGTCTGGTCTTTGAAATAACCCCTCTGGGCAAGAACTGCAGCCAAGAAAAAAATAGTGTTACATGTTTGTTTGTACTTATTTTTTTTAGTGTTCCACATGTTGTCACTGCAATGATATGATATGCCCTTTGTATCCTGTATCATAAAGAGAAGACAGCTGGCTGTGACCTATGTAACATGTATATATAGTTCACAGTTCAACATCAAGGTTCAACATTATGCAGTACGTATAAAATGGCACTGTTTAACAGATATACCAATACTTCAACACTATAAAATGGCAAAATATATCATCATCCTTTTATCCTAACAATAATTCTCGTATGTAAAACTGAAACTGAAATCCTAAAGAACTGTAGAATTCAATAACAATTTTCAATGACATACAGTTCAGGTAGTTGGGATTGGCCAGGCACTGAACAAACTCCAGCTCAACCTGGAACCTCAGCTTGGCCTGCTCCGATGATTCTGTTGACAATAAACGACACATGCATTATCTAGTTAGTATTTTCCAACAAATTTACCTTGCCCCCCTCCCCACCCTTTCACGGTTTCAGACTTTCAGTGCCTTTAATTACAAAGGATATATTAATGTCAACACTGTTAACCAATGTCCTAAAACCAATATATAACATGTTACATTAATAAGATATTATTTGCATTCACTATTTAATTTGGGAGGAAAACTAAAAGATTTTCTCCCTCACCATTTCCCCTAGCGGACGCCATGATGGAAACTTCACAAGTCCACATACGTCGTTACCTTATCATGTATTAGAAAGAATTTAGAAAGATTAATGATAAATCTACTCAAATAATTAACATTGTCATTCTTTTTACAGTAAAAAGAGTATTGAGTTCTTTTATTTGGTTGAGAGTAACTTTTCATTCAGCTAGTAACTGTGATTCCTTATGATTATGCAGATATAAATTAGTCCCTATGTGGTCTTCCCTGAGAAGAAAACAAAATGGCGACGCCCAGACGACTTGTACCGATGGCAGTGACACCGAGGTCCTTCCAGGCCGTGTACGGCGTCGACGTCGATCTGATGGCGACTCTTTCGGAAGAAGAAGTCCGCTGCCTTCTGCCTTGCCTGGTTAGGATGTCGCTGTGCGCGGCAATGGACGGCAGTGAGCGCTGGGCGCAGAACCGAAAAACTATCCTGAAGCTCCTGTCTTCGCACGAACCCGTAAATTCAATCGTTGCGCTTTTGTCCGTGGACTTCCACGCGTTGGAGCAGGATGCAAGAAAAGAGCAAGCAATCAGGTAACGAAGGCATTATCTCAGCTACTTTGACTGATGTCTTATATTTGTTTTTGATACAGCATCAATATTTTGTAAATCTGACACTGTAGAAGCGCCACCTAGTTCACTATTATTGTACTGCAAATATTCTTCTTGAACCTCTACGGTGCCACATATATTTTTGTTCTCCATTGTGGCCGCAACAAAAGCCTCAGGAGCAACCTCTGTTCCTCACTCACGAACTAACACACACACGTGTCTGTGTGCGCGTGCACACACACACACAGACATGCGCGGGCACAGACACACACACACACACACACACACACACACACACACACACACACACACACACACACAAAGGTTATGAGGCTATGGCCATTGCTGTACATCAGCTCTGTACATTGCATATCCAGCCTAGTGTGCTATAACTGACTAGCTGGCTCCTTGACAACAACATGTAGAATATCCACCAGTACATGTATGTTCATGTACTTACATGTAACGTTAACGTTATTTCCCAGGTCCAAGTTAGGAGGGTCAGAGCTAGAGAGTGCCCTAACGTCCCAGGCAGGACTGGCTTTGGAGTTTGAACGCAGCGACGCTGCCAGCCGTCTCCGACTGGTGCTGAGGGAGCTGCTCATTCTCATGGGGCTGGTAAATCATGTTTTTAACACAAAACGGACAAATTCAAACGTCATATGTACAGAGTTAAAACTTTGCTCCAACACAAATTTAAAGGATTGTTTTCAGCTAGAGCTTTTGGCTCTAAACTTACTAGTACTAGTAGACGACTGACTTTGACATATATGATTGAGAAAAAAGACTGTTACGGCACTAAATTTCTTACATTGCTTTCTTTCTTATTTTCCAGGCGGAGAGCTCAGAAGCAAAGTTCTATGTGCGTCCCTGTGAACTGTTTGAGAGTCAGTCCCATCTAGAAGAAATAGCAGATGTGTTGTGTGTGGCACAGGCTGGTCAGTACTTTTACAAAACTTATTTTTCCAGCATCCACCAATTGTTTTTTGACAGAATTTTGTTGCTTCTGATGGGCAGAACTTTCTGCCATTCTGTCATCAATAGTGGTGCATATGTTACCCTACCAATCCTCGTTCCAGATCACAGTTCCTATTCCAGATGACAACGCAATTACGACCAGCGAAGCCAGAGCATAGAGACGACTGAGTGTATTCTTTGTTCTCTCAAACCAACTGCGCAGTACGCATGCGTACATCGGATCAAACCATTATCCTAAAGGGGGTGTTTCTACATGGCAACACACGCCCCCTCTGGCTGAGATGTCGTCCCGACATTTGACAATAAATACAGAACTGTTAACTTGGAACTTCTCTATAGCTACATCTATGTGAATTCGAATAAAATATTTTTAACTTGTACAACAAAGTAAAGTGTTAGAACTGCCTTAAGAACCGCTTTGACTATTGAATTAAACTTAACTACAGCAAGACTGCATTTTTCACTACGTAACTTGCACGTACATTTCAAACATCGCGAAGGCACTGACTTCTACTGTAGCAAACTGATATAAGATAATATTCTACTTCCATACAGAAGAGATAAACGCATACTAGCATCTATATTACTTAACAACATGGCTGAACAACTCGTCCACTTACTAATACACAAAGAAATCACAGCTTTCTGATGCATTATAGTGTAATCTTCAGAATGTCACCTCTTAATCCACTAGAGAACATTTCATACTCCCTACACTTTTTCTGAAGGAAATAGGTTTACTATAGAAGTTCTTCATCAACAGACACATCAACAATCCACGGTATAATAACCTCCACACATGTTGATTGCCCAAGAAGTTTCACATGACCTGACGACAGATGTTCTCTCTATCTTTCTCAAGTTCTACCTCATTCACACTATGTCTCTATTACACATGTTCCACAATATTATGCATTCACTGTTCATAATATAATTGTCCCGTGAGACTCTTCTCCTTCAGCGGGTAATCCACAGGTGCAGCGGCACAGGTACAGCAGATAATCCACAACACGAACAGTAATTCTTATTCCGAACAGTTCATTGTCCGCAAGAACAACGGGTAATCCACGGAAACAGGTAATCCACTGGAATAGTAATCCATAGCAGTTCACAGTCCACACAAATAGCAGGTACTCCACAGGAATAGTAATCCATAGCAGTTCACCATCCACCCAAACAGCAGGTACTCCATCCCCTTAGCTGGGCGCGTACATGCGAATTATCGGTATCAACTGTCTGCAGTGAGGGCACGACTGATATAATTGCCCAGGATGCCCTGCTCCCGCATTCCACATGTTCAGTGGCCATGGTGTCCCTACGTTCCACTCTGCTGCATTTACTGTGTTCACTGTTGGCACTCTCAAGTAGCCAGGTTGTCCACCTACATCATACGTGAGAGTCCGTGGTGGTCTCCTATTTCGTCTTGGTCTGTTCTCTTCTGCTTCTGCTGAGTCTGGAACATCCTCACCACCCTGGGACACACAGGGCTGGTCCTCAGACTCAACTTCAACTCCACTTAGTGCAGATTCTTCTTTCTCGCTGTCACTATCGCTGTCTGAGCCTCCTGACTGGCTCTCAGGTTCAGGCTCTTCATCTTCTTCTACTCTGCTGGGCACAGCTTCTTCTTTCTCACTACCTCTCCCCTCCTCCTCTTGAGGTGTTCTCCTTCTACTCTGTTTGGGAACTGGGACCTCTAGGGGCAGTCCCTCGCATGGGAGTAACATATTTCTATGCAACACTCGTGATCTTCCCTCTTGGCACTCTGGGCGTACCTCATACACGGGGATATCTTTCCCCTTTTGCTTCACAACGATGTGGATTTTGTCCTCCCAGTGGGAACGCAACTTGCCCGGTCCTCCTCGGTCCGTCATATTTCTAACAAGGACCCGGTCACCTCTGGACAGACTGAGACCGTGCACCTTTCTGTCGTACTGTTTCTTCCCTTTTGCACTTGTTTTCCTGGCCTGCTGACTTGCAATCCTGTAGGCCTCCTGCATGCCCCTTTTCCATCTCTTGACATACTCAGGATATGATTGAGCCTCATGCTCCTTGTCTTCAATCCCAAACATAAGGTCCACTGGCAGTCGGGGGTGATGTCCATACAACAGGAAGTGGGGAGAGTAACCGGTGCTCTCATGTCGGGTGCAGTTGTACGCATGAACCACCTTGTTAAGAGATGCCTTCCAATCTGTCTTCTGGGATTCTGGGAGAGCACGTAACATCGCTAGCAAAGTCCGATTAAACCTCTCCACTTGACCGTTTCCCTGGGGGTGATAGGGAGTTGTTCTCGAGGGCGACACTCCACTAAGCTGATGTAGGCGTTGAAACAACCTGTTTCAAACTCCGACTCCTT